AAGAGGGCTTGGTTCAGCAAACCTTGAGTACCCAAACTTTAATTATAATTCTGTAGGCTATAATTCAGGTTGCATCATAGATTCAGGACGTTTTCTATTTTTACTAAGAAATGAACTGAAGTAATAGTGACAGTGACCATGAGGATGATGTGGGTGCTACATGACTGCACAGTCGATGTGCCCTAAGGCCCCAATTACTACTACTGCAATGCTGATGATGAACACAGGTTATTTGAGAGGAAGGAGCCAGAATTCAAGACACGGTTCCTGATCATATTGATCTTCCATATTCTTTGGCATACTGTTTCGTTTACTGAAACATTTCATGGGCATGGAATCGTGAATTCACAGGATTGGCTATGTGACGGCTGAGTTCCAGTTGTGTGAGCACCAGCTGTAAGATGGAAAGGGTAGTTCAAGCTCCCCCAGTTAGTATATTTTTGGTCAGTTATAACAGGACGCAGAGCAAAAAGCTCGGCGCAATGCAACAACAGTGCTCCACCGCCCTGGCAACAACTTACATCTCTACCCCGCTATAGCCGTGTTCCCCCGCCGGTCGCCGGGCGTGAGCACGAATGGTTGAGGAAACCGGCGGCCACCTACGCCGCACGAGGGGCCAAAATCGTTACGGGGTTTGGGGCGTGTTCGCAGTGAGTCGTCCGAGGGAGAAGATTCGGATTCTGACCAATAACGGTGCACGACGTGAGTCATGTGGCCAATCACAGGGCCGGGCTGAACAAATATTGATTTCTCTGGCCGTGACCTTCGAGCCGCAAGGCGTCATCTGATGACAAGTCTAAAGTGCTGCCAAAAGCGTAAAATGCCACCAAAAATGTTTCGTGGGTAAAACACCTCCTGAACGTGGTATCTGCTCATAGCCAGACGTCAGATATGTGCCAAACTTGTTGAAAGGGATAATTTAAATATGGGTCTAGTTTCCACAACCCTGTATGGGAAAAGAATCCCTCAGACTTGCCATCTCTTGTTCAGGGTGTGTCTCGGAATGTTTCCACGCTGTGCAAAGTTACGCTCAGAGGTTATGTGGATGGTTACGATGTGTAGTTGACTTGTCGTTATAAGTGTAGAATCTTTTATCAGAGGCAGCGGATGTAGCATTTTAAAAGAGCGGCAGGGGGCGTTTAGGCACCATATATGCTGTTGCAGCGGTGCGACGCGTTTTGATTTTGTGCTGTTTGTTTTCATGTTTCCTTCTGGGTGTTTCTCTTTCCAGCTCATGTGTAAGGCGCTTCCTTGTGCTGGGGCTGCCTCGGTCCTCGTGTCGAGTCATTTTACGCTCATGCCTAGTAAACAACAGTTCGGTGGATAATTAAACAATTAGCAACATCTATCTGACAGTAGTTATGTGTGTGCTGTGGAGAAGCGAAAGCCGGGGTCACGCCTTAAATCTGCCCAGCTATCCTTTGGCTGTTCGACACCATCAGTGGCAGCCAAGACTAGTCCGTGCTGTCAGCCAGCTGCGGTGTAATAAACGCGCTGGCGCGGCGGGAGCCACCGTATATAGAGGCCGTGATCAACAGCGAGCGAAACGCGAAACCGACCACGACGCTGCGACCGAATCGCTATATGGGTTCGCTGTATGGTTTTCTAGGTTTTCATGGGTAGTGGAGTGATATGGGTTCATCTTGAATTGTTGAAATGGCAGGTCATGCAGCTCATGAGTCTGTGCGTTTGGCTGCTACCAATAGCTTTTCCCCTCCAACGGAATGCAAGGGGCTTCACAGTGCTACTAGCTTTTGGGATACTGCTGCTGTGTAACACAGCAGCGCATTTTTTTGGGGGGGGAGGAACAAAACTTTTTGGGGATGCAGTTGTATCCAGAATATTTTGAAAATATTCTTGCATCTAAATATGAACCGAATGAAGCAGTTAGCATCACCAGTTTTTGGGTAGCTCCTCTTGCATGGCTGCGATGTGAGCCAGTGGTGGCCACAGTGGCCAGACTAGGTGGTGCGTACCCAAGCGACACTCCCTGGCCTCACCATTACTATGTCATCGTTCAGTACATTAGTTTATTGCGTCGCACCAACGCCGTCACATCCTCTTTTTATTTTGATGGTGAGGTGCTGGCAGCCTGAACCCGGCTTCGACTTTACCTAACTCAGACAGGAGAAGCTTTGAACGTGCCCTTATCCTTTGCGCTGGCTTCTGGGCATCACTGTGCACGCCCGCTGGTTCCGCGTGTTTGAGTTTTGCATTTGCAGGGTCGTTCTTTTGTAGACGGTGGTGTTTTGGGGTATCCAACAAAATTTATCACCGGTGGAGTCCGAAATCATCACCAGCTATGCGAATTAGCAAAGCCGACTGGCGGCGACAGTCAATGTTTCTTGGCAGGTAACTATCTCTACCTCCACGGCCGTGACTTATTTTTCCAGCTCCACCGGCGTACACGAAACTATGGAGAGTCAAATGACACCAGCAGCTTTCAGCAAAGCGACATGTGCCGCCCTGACGTTTGAGCTCGTCACGTACTTCTGCCCGCTACACCTGGTATATCGGACGTGTCGTTCACCGTGTCCGGTTGTGATCGCTCGAACACCCTCAAGATAGTGCAGCGCCCTGTTCACCGACGTGTGCCGCGCGTCCGCGCGAGTAGCACAGTTCGCCGAGCACGGCACGTTCGTGGCAGGCGACACGGTGCGTGGCTGGTCTTTCTTTCAAACGTAATTGGGGCAGCCGGGTATGAGAGAAAGGGGCTTGTGGTGGGGATAATGCACGATATGACTCTGCTGCAACATGGTGTACCACAAAGACGATCCTCCATGTGTACCACGAAAACGATCTGGGGTGACGTGGCCAGCTCCGGGCGGCCCAGAACCTGGAGGCCGTGAAACTTGCTGGGATCATCTCTCTTGAGTTGTCATTTGACCGCAGGTGCTGAACTATGGCTGCTGAAAGATGATGGTTGAGTAACACTAGACGCTTACCTATAGCTCAGCCATGTGACATCATCCGAGTTAGTCTTAACGTAACATGCTATTGGCTACACATCAATCAAACAGACCGTCTTCCTATATGCGCGCTCACGGCAATGTTGGCCGGCTAGAAACATCGCTATGACGCATGCATTTTTCTCCATTTGAAACATGCGTTGTTGCCCAAACATCGACAGCTGCTCCCAATGCTCACCAGCTCATAAGACCGTTTGCCGAGTGACACCGCGGAGCTAAGAGCGGAGCGGCTACAAGCGACGGTACACAGCCAGGCGAGAGACCCCCGGTCACGAGGGCGCGGGACTGTCTCAGGCGAAAAACCGTGATACTGCTTCCAAGATCTGGTTTGCTAATGCTCTTGAGCCGTTGGACACACCGCGTTGCCGAACAGATCGGCTCGGGCAATATCGTGAGGCACTGCGGCGCATGCTCCCACGGCAAAAGGCTCTACGTTGCAGCACGGGTAGCTTCGAGGTACCCCATGCAGCTGGGCTCGGAAAAATGGCACAGCATGCGGGCGTTGCAGAGCGCTTCGATGGGAAGTGAATGGGAAGCAGGTGCTTTCTGCCGCGGTAGCAAAGTGAGCCCTCCTTTTGACCCGCCTCCGCCTACATGTCTTTGTCAGTTGTTTGTCTCTGCGTCGTTCAGCGCCGCAGTGGTGATCCCTCAACGAAACGCATCAAGACGCGCCGTGCATGCCTGAGATGCGAGTCGGTGCTATGTGGCTGGAACTGATGTCATATCGCTACGAGCGGATATGTATTTAGTGTTCTGAGTGCTTGAATCAGCGTCGCATTATCCATGTGTCCAGGTGATCCAAACGTGTCGTCCGACTGGGTGCATTGTCTATGTGTCCAGGTGATCCATGCGTGTCGCCCGACTGGGTGATCGCGTATTGACTTGCTTAACATGGTTGATTGAAATCCACTCAATATTGCTGAGATTCGAGTCAGCATTAAGTCACGGATGGCGGCCCCACTGGCGTTACGTCACGGGTGGTGGCCCCACTGGCGTTACGTCACGGTTGGCGACCCTACCGGTGCTACGTCGCGGGTGGTGGCCCCACCGGCGTTACGTCACGGTTGGCGACCCTACCGGTGGTACGTCACGGGTGGTGGCCCCACCGGCGTTACGTCACGGTTGGCGACCCTACCGGTGGTACGTCACGGGTGGCGGCCGTACCGGCGTTACATCGCGGATGGCGGCCCCACCGGCGCTACGTCACGGGTGGCGGCCGTACCGGCGCCACGTCACAGATGGCAGCCCCACCGGCGTTACGTCACGGGTGACGACCCTACCGACGTTACGTTACGGGTGGTGGCCCCGCCGGCGTTATGTCTCGGATGGCGGCTCCACCGGCGTTTCGTCACGGGTTACCCTACTGGCGCAGACGGTGTCATCTCTTCGCGCAGCGAAACACACGAGGTCCGCTTGTCGTCATCTATTCATGGCCCTTCCCTTTTGATGATGTATGTAAGCTAACGCCAGCGCATTCATTCCAGAAAATTTTGTTGGTAGCATGCATAGGTGAAACTATCTCTTATTCCGAAGCAGTGAAATGTGTACAGAAATCGGGATGCAGGGTTTGAAGCTTGGGTTGGTCACATCGCTGGCCCAGTCTTCTCAGCTGATGTGGTGGGGCTGGAGATGTGCTCGACCGGCTGCGATTCTGTTTTTGTTCCCGTCCTGATGCCACTGTGTTTATACGATGATGAGGAAGAGGGATTGGAATAAACAAAGCCAAAAATACAAGTTTTCTCCTCCGTCTGGTCATTGTTACGACACTTAAGGACAGTGACATGATAGCTGACAGCAACGAACATCGAAAAATAACAGCCATATGTGTCGATATGTAATTGAGTGATTGTCATGGTGTGTCCGTTTTGCTATCCTTGAAACCGGCAATCTTTGCTTTCACATGACACTCGCGTCCGCGAAGCTGCGCGACCGTGTTATGCAGACAGGATATATCTGAGACTGTTGGTCGCATGGTTTTGTCATCGGCGTCCACCTGCCCACTGTGACAGGGCGGGCCGCACGCTGCCGCAGACGAGCGCAGCAGCCCGCCGCCGCCGGCCGTGGCGGACGCGCTCTGGGCGACGACACCGACGCCCTTGGCTGCGCCGCCGGCCACCTTCGCCGCCCTGCTCGGCCGCCACATTGGCACGGCCCGCACGCGCGGCTTTGACGACAACGTGGGCAAGCATCTGCCTGCCCCCAGCTGCGACGTGAGCGCCGCCTGTCGGTCGTCGCCGGCACTGACGGCACCGGCCGGGCCGAAGGAAGGGAGAGGGCGCCACCGGGGCGACGGCTGTGTTGTGACATCGGAGTGGGTTGGCAGAGCTTTAGTGGCAGCTCTTTGGTGTGCAACTGGGCTGGTCTGTGCAGCTGAATGCTTCATTGGACCGGCTGACGTGTGCGCAGTTTTCTTACACCAGAGCTTCCGCACCATTCTTTCTCTGTCCGAGTGTTTCAGTTACACACACAAATATTTACACTCGGTAACGAAACGACAGCGGTGCATTGTTTGGTAGGGCACAACGCAAGCGATACGACGTTCTTACTGGGCTTGCAATTTTTAATACATACCTTATTAAATTACACCGACAATAAACACACCATATGGTTATTTCGTCGCCTTTTACCGTCTACCATTTGGTCGTCTGTTGGCGCGTAACCTGGCCTGGCCTGTCGCCAGCTGCCTCCTGGTGATGTCTGGTTCGCTGCATGCAGCAGACTATACGAGGAAATCATCCTGGTGCCGGACGGCTCGGCTTACAGGAAGGTGAGCCCAGCGGCACGGCTTATGGGAAGGTGAGCCGAGCGGCGCGGCTTGCAGGAAGGTAAGCCGCGCGGCGCGGGTTATAGGAAGGTGAGCCGAGCGGCACAGTTAACAGGAAGGTGAGCCGAGCGGCGCGGCTTATAGGAAGATGAGCCGAGCAGCACAGCCCATAGAACGGTGAGCCGACCGGCACGGCTTGCAGGAAGGTGAGCTGAGCGGCATAACTTGCAAGAAGGCGAGCCGAGCGGCGCGGCTTATAGGAAGATGAGCCGAGCGGCACAGCTTGCAGGAAGGTGAGCTGAGCAGCGCGGCTTATAGGAAGGTGAGCCGAGCGTGGAGGCTTACAGGAAGGTGAGCCGAGCGGCACGGTTTAAAAGAAGGTGAGCTGAGCGGCGCGGCTAAGTACTGAGCGCGGTAAGACTGTGCGTCGCGTGCGTCTGGCCTGTCGCGCGCGTCCGGCCTGTCGCGTGCGTCTGACTCGCCGTGCAGTGTAGGTCGATAAGATGAGATCGGGCAGCATGTAATGCCGCCGGTGGCGTGTCCGCTACACGGCCCGTGCCCTTCGGCTACCCACCAATGACAGCACCATTGAAATCAATCTGCTTGCGTGCGCATATTCCAACTCAGTAGGCAATAACTGACTGCTCTGGTATGAATCTGACCCTATGTGACCATTTACTCCAGTCCCCGACGGCTGCCCTTGTGCCTGGATCCGGTATGACCCTGACGCCACGTCTGACTGTCTGTGTCTGACCAACCTCTGACGAGTCTACGGCCGGCGCTGGACTCTGACACCATGTCTGTCTATCCACCAGCCGCTGACGAGTCTGCGGCACTCTGACACCATGTCTTTCTATCCACGAGCCTCTGACGAGCCTGCGGTCGGCGCTGGACTCTGACACCATATCTGTCTATCCACCAGCCGCTGACGAGTCTGCGGTCGGCGCTGGACTCTGACACCATTTCTGTCTATCCACCAGCCGCTGACGAGTCCACGTTCGGCGCTGGACTCTGACGCCATGTCTGTCTATCCACCAGCCGCTGACGAGTCTGCGGCACTCTGACGCCGTGTCTGTCTATCCACCAGCCGCTGACGAGTCTGCGGCACTCTGACGCCGTGTCTGTATATCCACCAGCCGCTGACGAGTCTGCGGCACTCTGACGCCGTGTCTGTATCCACCAGCCGCTGACGAGTCTGCGGCACTCTGACGCCGTGTCTGTATATCCACCAGCCGCTGACGAGTCTGCGGCACTCTGACGCGTGTCTGTATATCCACCAGCCGCTGACGAGTCTGCGGCACTCTGACGCCGTGTCTGTATATCCACCAGCCGCTGACGAGTCTGCGGCACTCTGACGCCGTGTCTGTCTATCCACCAGCCGCTGACGAGTCTGCGGCACTCTGACGCCGTGTCTGTATATCCACCAGCCGCTGACGAGTCTGCGGCCGGCGCTGGACTCTGACGCCATGTCTGTCTATCCAACAGCCGCTGACGAGTCTGCGGTCGGCGCTGGACTCTGACGCCATGTCTGTCTATCCACCAGCCGCTGACGAGTCTGCGGCACTCTGACGCCGTGTCTGTATATCCACCAGCCGCTGACGAGTCTGCGGCCGGCGCTGGACTCTGACGCCATGTCTGTCTATCCAACAGCCGCTGACGAGTCTGCGGTCGGTGCTGGACTCTGACGCCATGTCTGTCTATCCACCAGCCTCTGACGAGTCTGCGGTCGGCGCTGGACTCTGACACCATGTCTGTCTATCCACCAGCCGCTGACGAGTCTGCGGTCGGCGCTGGACTCTGACACCATGTCTGTCTATCCACCAGCCTCTGACGAGTCTGCGGTCGGCGCTGGACTCTGACGCCATGTCTGTCTATCCACCAGCCGCTGACGAGTCTGCGGCACTCTGACGCCGTGTCTGTATATCCACCAGCCGCTGACGAGTCTGCGGCCGGCGCTGGACTCTGACGCCATGTCTGTCTATCCAACAGCCGCTGACGAGTCTGCGGTCGGTGCTGGACTCTGACGCCATGTCTGTCTATCCACCAGCCTCTGACGAGTCTGCGGTCGGCGCTGGACTCTGACGCCGTGTCTGTCTATCCACCAGCCGCTGGCGAGTCTGCGGTCGGCGCTGGACTCTGACGCCATGTCTGTCTATCCACCAGCCGCTGACGAGTCTGCGGTCGGCGCTGGATTCTGACGCGCGTTTCTCGGAGGCGCGCTGCGCCAAGGTACTGCCGATCGCTCTAGCCGCCTACCAGGAGGGGCTGCCGGCCCGCTACTCCCAGGAGTACCACACCACCAAGGTCAGTGGCGATCAGCAGGGCGCTGCCGGTAGGGCCGCGTGTCGCCGTCGCGTGGCGCAAGAGCACGCAAGACGCGGTGCCCGGCGCGCGCGGTCTGACCGCAACACCCGGCCTGTTGTCGCAGTGTGCGTCAGGTACTGGAGCTGTAAGCGGCTGAAATCGTGAACATTTTGCTGAGGTGTGGTCTCTCCTGAAAGCCTCAGTGCGTAGTGCTGATGAGGCCCGGCGCGCCGGCGCGTATTACCGCGGAGGGTCGAGCGCCCATGTCTGGGGAAGGCAGAGCGCAGCCGGGTGGCGGGCGTTTTCGTGGAAGGGATTAACGTTGGTGGGTTGAGAGAGTTGCCGGGCGGTGGCTGCTGGGCCCGGCCACGATGCCCGCGGCAGTCACGTGACTGGGCGGGTTAGCCGCCTCAGGGCTGGTCCGGGGACCGTCCAGCGAGCCCGGCCGGCTGGACATGTCCCATGCAGCGGTGTGAGGGTCTCGCCAGAGCCGGCGTGTACTCCGGCTGTGAGGGCAGCATTGCATCGCATTACAGGTATATATCTTTCACACTACGAGCCGGAAAGTTTTGATCTCGCATCGGACTCCTCGGTTTCAGTGGTCACTGATCTGCGTTAGCCTGTGGCTTTGGGAAAGCCGCGAATTCGGACGTCATATGAGTCCTTTGATTGGTTAGCGGATTTCATGTCACAGAATTAGACCCCGGTTGCCATGGCAGTAAACCCCAGATTCTGCACTGTGGTAGTGGGTTCAAGGGTCCCTGGTCCTGGTCTGGCCTGGTCTGGTCACCCTGGTCTGTGTTGCGCGATATTATCGGATCCTGCGATGGAAAAGAGATGGTTGCAAGCGGGTTTACACCTGTAACTTAAAATCTCACATTGACAAGCGCTAATTACGCGTAAATGTGGCTGTTAAGTACGGATGGTTTTCATGCAAAAGGCTATTATTTTTTGACTGCTGACTTGGCGCGGCAAGACAAATCACCGTGATGTCAACAAGACCTGCACATGAAACAGGGACCACGACGTGAAGAGTGGTCAGGAAACAGAAATGAACAGGAAAATGAGTCAAATATTATGCTTCCAATATCGGTTACCGTGTGCTGATATGTGCCGTATTGAAACACTGAGGCGAATGCAGATTATTATTTGCGGTATCGACGCCGAGTGTGTGGTTCCGACACGAGTTTAGGTGTGTAAACACATGACATGCAAGCATGCCAATGCAATTCAAGTTCATACGCTTGTTTGCAAAGTTGCTGGTACATGCAAAACGCATTGGACTGTTATTATTGCAGTTACTATACAATGTTCTCTTTGAATGAAACTAAGTTCAGAGCGTTGGTATCTGAACGCCGCATAACGTAAGCTCATCAAGTGAATATGTAATGGTTTCGAACAATGCTTCCAGTTAGATACTAGTTCTTGTCGGTACCTTTGACTTTATGCTGCATCTTGATTGCTGCTGGATCAGGATTATATTTGAAGGCTAGCTCTGGGTTCTTGTGGAATCTGGGGCAATATTATTGGCCTAACCTTCGCGATTAATGGATAAAAAACAAGCTGGCTCTTGGCTCTTGCTGGACCCCTCGGCATACTTCAGGCCGTGGTCTGAATTTTTGTCGGATCTGTTGAATTACGCCAACAGCAGTGTGATCAGCGAGTATAGAGCAATACGACCAGAACCGGATGGACGACCTTCTGTGACGCATGGACACCCGGAGCTCGGCCCGTGGCCGCCGACGGGTGTGGCGGCTCCGGAATTGTCACGCCGTTTATGAGTGAGACGACGCCCATCTGGGAGCACAAAGCAAGGCACGCCCGGTGAACATATCTGTGGTTTATGATTTTCAGTACATTTTCAGTATATTGTTACCAAGATAACTTCAGTGGCGTTCAGTCGTATTTCATATTCTACCACGTCCTATGACATCTAAAACCCAACCACAATGATGCTTGACACCAGACAGTTCACAGATCACTGACACAGTAATATTTACCATAGCACTTCCCTAAATAACATCCAGGGGACATCATCTCATTATCATATATCATTATCATATATCATCACTCATATTTGAGTCATCCCTTAAAAGCAGACGTCGGCCGGTGCCCGATGATACACCTACTTTGGTATATTATCCCAAACCTTCCCGTAGATAAGACAGTAGTATTAGCCTTATTCCTCGGAGAAAACCAGGAAGATGGATATATGGTTGGATATGACCCAACTATATCTTCATTCTCCTGGTTTTTCTTCGAGGAAAAAGGCTAGTACTACTGTCTTATCTATGTCAATAATGTTCCTCGCTAATGCACTGAACAAATAACAAACCTTACCTTTATAATTTTGATTTCCTCTGTCATAGAACAGCATCACATCACTGTGTCGGATAAACTGTCAAAACAAAATGAGCACTTCAAATAAAAAGTGAACAGCATGGAGAGCGAGAGCTCGGCTCCAGCTATTCTTGCCAGTTCTCTTCTTCTCTCAGGTTGTCCGATTTTTTACGGTTTAAATCAGCTTGATATCTTTTATAACGCCGGTATTTCGCGCGCTACCAACCGAGGTAAAAACAGCGTTAAGTATTAGCTTTTTTCCCGATGCCGCGGGGTTAATCACTACGGCAACCGGAGTTTCACGGGGTTTAAAGCTGTGACGACACCAAGTCCTCTGACCAATCACAGGCTTAAATTGACGTCCGAATTGGCAGCAGGGGTTTAGAAACAGCAACGCTTTTTTGTAATGCTTTAGATACCGGAGGGCACCCCCTGGTTGAGTAGATCACACATGTAGGTAGTGGCTCATTTGGGGTTTCAGGCCGTTTTCTTGCGTTGTATTATAACAATGTTGAAAGTTGCTATGTTCCAGATGCGCTTTGGTAGGAGCACTGAACTTGCCGTAAACACTGGTCTCTGTTTATTGTCTCTTCATCTCTCGATTGCGATTGATCTAATTAAGAATCTGTGACTGAAAATGTGACTGAAAAACTCAGGCATGACTTCGGAAAGGGATTCGGACTGCTGGGAAATCGTGTTATGTAGAAATATGTGAAGGATCGCACCATGCTCTTACTGATTCATGTCTTATCCTATTTTGCGAGGGTCTTTCCATTATACTGAAATAGTTCTGCGAAGTCCTGGGGTCAAAGTGGGCAAAAGGTAATGCCTAATGACGGCAGCGTTTTAGTCACTGGGTCACAACTGAAGACAAAGCGCAAAGGTAGCTATGTTGCGGGTGCTTAGGATTAGTTCGAGCTGGCTGCTTCCTCTCCGGTTCTTCAAAGAAACATTCTGTGAGCTTTTAAGTAGTCACAAAAAGAAAGTCTTTGGTAGGGGCAATTAATCTGTTCGAACCTCCTCTGCAGCACAGCGTCGCCAAAAAATCCTTTCCAAACAACCCCTTCTAGGGGATGTAGGAGACCTTTGTGCTAGAGTGTTAACCGTTTCCCATAGTTCTTCGGGGCAGCTGATTGTCTTGGCGCACCAAAGCTGGGAGTGCCGGCGAAGAGCCTGCTTGTTCCCGTAGTTTGCATATGGCACAGCATTAGCAGAACAAGAAATGGCGTGAGTAGTAATGATATATGCGAAGACAAGCTGCACCATATGGGAACTTGGGCTGCTGCAGAGCTGTGTGAGGTGGCGGCTTCGTGTTCGCTGTTGTGCAGGGATGAGGGTCCATCTATTCCGCTGCGGGCGCCGCTAGCCATTAACCTGAAGTTTTTAATGGCGCTGTTCTTAGGGTGTTTCGGGGCCACGAATTAAAAAGTGCATGCGAACGTCAGAGCGGCTTACTGTGTAAATGTAGTTAGGCATTTCTTTTTTAAAGACCTTTAATCCTTGCATACTACAAAATTATATTTGGTCCGGAAGTTATGGTTGCACCAAAGTATAAGGTGCACAGTGATACATAGCCAAAATACATGCATTCATATATGTATCATGCATAAGGAGTGCACGCCATGAATGTGCTCATTACCTTGACGAAGCAGCTCTGGGTGTATCAGTGTTCAATAAGGATCTAGAGCAGTTACGTGTGATTTGGAGACCCTAGAATGCCAGGTGAGCGGTGTCCCACTGGGCTACACTCCTCATCATACCATGTGTCACTCGTTCAAGGACTGGCAGTGTGCTGGGCTGTCCCATGGGCGCCCGTAATGGCCCCTAGGCGCCGGTTTAAGCGAAACTTGTACACTGGCGCAAGCAATGTAACGCACACTGTCCGACCGCCAAAAGAAGTGGCTGGACTGGCGAGAACAGGCCGGTCACGCCAGGCACCATGGAGGTATTTCATCCGCCAGCGTGGCGTGAGCGCGTCGTCTTCAACTGGCGGCGGGCGGTTCGAAACGCGCCCTCAGCCGTCGTGCATTGAGGAGAATGTAATCAGCGAGTTTCTTTTCAGTTACAGTTGCAGTCCGCCCTTCAATTGAAACGGCATCAGACGGAATGTAGCTTACCGTGTGTGGCGTAAAACACGTGCTGATATTGGCCGACCAGAATGTACCTCACGCGACCAGCAGGATCGTCGCCATCGGAGGCTGCGGACCACTAGTAAATACGGCGGTCGTCACAGATATGCCGGCAGCAATCCCTGCAAGACGAATCCCATCGCTTGATATTTGCGCGAACAGCACCTCAGTGGCGGCAACAAACTGTACTGGATGTTTGCAACAAAAGAGACGCCAGACAAAACATTCCATTCAACAGACCACAGCCTCGGGCTCATGCAAGCGATGGTCGTTCAGGATTTCGCACGTACTATGAAGTTGTCACATTTGAAGGGTTTCGTTGAAAATTATTGAAACTTAACATTTAACTAACAAATCGAATAGTATATCCATATATATATATATATATATATATATATATATATATATATATATACACATACATATACACGTGTGTGTGGGCGTGGATGTTGGTGCGGGTGTTGGTGTGGGTGTGGGTGTATTTGTTTCCATAGCATCCATGAAACAGAACGCGTGCTTTTTCATCACTTTCAGCAGTCTACCATTCTCCGAATTACCTAGACTCCGCATTGCATCAGACAGTCTGGCGGCAGGCTTGGAAACGGAGCATTACCAGGAAATGGAGACACGTGGAGGCTTGCATGATTGCATGCTCTTATGCAACTTCGTCACATTATTATTACGTAATCCTATCCGTTGTGACAGATTTCACTCCCAGCGTGCCAAAATGACTCGTGGGAGCCTTGAACTGCTGGCACAGCTCCATGGCTCGTGGGAGCCTTGAACTGCTGGCACAGCTACATGGTCCGCAGACGAAGGCTTCAATCGCGGTAACAGTCTTATATGCGAGGTTTGTGCATACCGATGTACCCTACATACGTATAGTGCACGGCTCAGGGTCGTGGGAGTGAACGCGAGGGCAGGTCAGGTCTGGCGTCTGAGGCGTCTGCCTCTTTGTTAGCCTGGTAAAGCAGCTTGCCTAAACTGTGTCGGCCAGTTTCAGGTGTGACCGCGCTTACCTGTCCAGACCGGCTTCTTATTTCCGCTAGCGGTTCGTGTGGGGCTGATAACCGTCAGTCCAGGCGTTTGCCATATTTTCGCCCACGGTCGGTTCGTGTGGGGCTGGTAACCGTCAGTCCAAGCGTTTGCCGTATTTCCGCCCACGGTCGGTTCGTGTAGGGCTGATAACCGTCAGTCCAGGCGTTTGCCGTATTTTCGCCCACGGTTCATGAGGATGGGGGGGGGGGGGGGGAGGCGACGCACGAGATGAGTGAGTCGAATGGAACCGACGCCGGGTTGTACCCGCACCGGTCGTCTGCCAAGTGCGGCCTCATTAAGCGCATCCGTCGTGATTTTATTGAAACCCTGCCACGAAAAATATAATCAGGGTGACCCATGATCTATACATACGAAAGAACAGCATATCACGTGTTTTATAGTGCGAAATCTGTAACATTTCCCTGCACACCAGAGTACACAAACGGTCGCAGAGTGCGCCGCAGCCAACACGTTTTTGTCAACTGGAATATTGTCAACGTGCTTGGAACGCGCCCATAGCCTCGGTACAGCTGCCGCCCGACACGGCAACAGCGCGGGTCACACGCGGCGGCGGGCCAGGACTGCGGGCTGCGACCACCCTGCGGAGCACCCTCACGGCCACGGCCAGGCCGGTCGGGCCTCGCGCGGTCAGAGCACACGCCTCTGCGCCGGGACGGTGGAGGGGCCCGCGCCCGAGGGGCCCGCGCTCGGGGCCCGCGCCCAGGGGCCCGCGCCCGGGGGCTCGCTCCCGCCGCGCTACTTCACCGCGATAGCCACCACCTGGCGCGTGTAGGTATCCTCCGGCAGCTGGGCCAGCATGAACTGGGCGACGTTGGCGCGCGGGATCATGGTGGCGGCGGCCGGGTCGGCCACGAACTGGGCGTCGGCCTGCTGCAGCGGCGTCTGCGCCAGCAGCGCGCGGTTGGAGAGGCCGCCTGGCCGAACCACGGTCCAGCGCAGGTCTTGCGCCTCGGCCGCCAGCCACTCCTCCATCTCGCGCATGTTGGTCAGCACGCGCTTGATGAGCGGGATCAGGATCCAGTTGACGAGGAAGCCGCGCCCCTGGGCGGACGTGATGTCCGTGTAGAAGGCGGTCATGACGACCAGCCGCTGCAGCTGGGCGGCGCGCATCGCCGCCGCCACCGCCTTCATCGATTCGGTGTAGCCGGTGACCGGGTTGTCGGAGCGGGAGAAGCCGAGCGCCGACACGACGGCCTCGTGGCCCTGGAATGCGGCCGTCAGCTCCTCCGCCGAAAAGATGTCGGCCTTCACCACGCTGAGGTTGTCGTGCTTCTGCTTGATCTTGTCGGGGTTGCGCACGATGGCGGTGACGCTGTGGCCCTGCTCGAGCGCCTGCGTCACCACGCACTGGCCCGTCTGGCCGCTGGCTCCCAGTACGACGATCTTCATGGCTGCGGGCGTCCCGGCGCGGCGCTCCGCACGGCCTGCGGTAACCGGGAGGCTCTGTGGCGGCGCGGCGGCAGCACTCCCAGCCTTGACGTGCTGGGCCCGCCCACCGACGACACTGCCACCTGGCGACCACCGGCGTTCAAGGTCACCGGCGTCAGGCCGTCCGCTTCGCAGCTGGTTGAGACAGGACGGAGCGGCACGCGTGGCACTGTGCCAAAAGAGCGGTGTGAAAAGGGCCTGCAGGCATGACAGAGACGTAGGCGAGGATTGATGCCTTTTCACGAGTGACTGCGGCGGACGAGTCGAACTCAGCTGCCGGGCGTGCCTTTGACCGCGCGTGACCGGCATATCGGCGGGTTGTTTGCCGATCAAACAGCGCGCGCGCTTTCCGACGCCGGCCGCCGCGCGTCTGCGTGCCCGCGGCGCGCGCCGAGTGGCTGGCCGCCGGTGTTTGGTGCCCCGGATAGTCACGGCCATCGTGTGCACAGCGGCGTCGGTGATGCATACGCTGTTTCCAGGCCGACGGGGCGTCGGCCACCGTCGACTTGACGACGGATCGGATGCAGTAGCAAGATCGATAGGTGGAAGTCGGCTGCCCGGGGGATATGCAGAGTACTGGGATCAGAAAACGGAGTGGAATCTGGGCGCGAAGCCGGGGCAGGCTTAAGGCGACCCCGGTGCAACGCTGGAGCTAAAAAAGGATATTTGACCCGTGGTGTTTTCGTTTGGCATCTGGGTGGACTGACTGTCCGCATTGGCGGCGACCGTCCCGGAGTGAGAGGGGTAAGTGGGGGTGGGGTGCAGGGTGCTGATACATGGCCACTGGGCTCTCGGGGTCCAGACAAGGGAGGCTGTGAGCCCGACGTGAGGCTGACATGACCTGAAGCGGGCCGACCTTCGGCGTCGAGCGCTGTCCTCGGCGCCTGGACGTCGGTGCCGGGTCGTGACCGCTGCCGCCGGCTGACTGCACTGGATCCTGGCGCCGGGGACGTGTCGGCGGGCAGCCAGCGCCATCAGCGCCGGGTTGAAGCCGTCACTAACACGGGCTGGGCCATCACACCCCAGCAGGTGCCCCGGGAAGCAGCCGCGGGAGCCGGCCGCAGTGTCCGGCCGGCGAGACGTCCGCTGTTAGTGCTTGGTCTGTCCCGGGACAGACATATCCTCTCCTGCCCGCTGCTCCGCTGTCTGACCCTCCAATCGGTAGTGTGCATGTCTGGTGACAGAAGGCAGGTCAAGGTTAGGTCAGAACCAGACGAACAAGCCACGCAGACATGGTCTGTGCTGTGGGTTCAACCTGGCCTGCTCTCAGTGGCACGTCGATCCCGGTGCTGCTATGGCTTTATTGAGACGTCGCGGCGGAACTTTTATGATTTTTGAATTGCGCGCTCAAGATCTAGCCTCAGCTCTGAACGTGTTATATAGAGCCACGGGGTCAGCAGAATATCAAGGAGCCAGAGCTCATTAATTTTACTCGGGGCGACCGAAGTTTACGAGTGTGTTGCTGTCGTGACCAGGCTGGCACGCCAGGCTGGTGCCGGCGGGGCCCTCTGTCGTGACCAGGCTGGCACGCCAGGCTAGTGCCGGCGGGGCCCTCTGTCGTGACCAGGCTGGTGCCGGCGGGGCTCTCTGTCGCGACCAGGCTGGTGCCGGCGGGGCCCTCTGTCGTGACCAGGCTGGCACGCCAGGCTAGTGCCGGCGGGGCCCTCTGTCGTGACCAGGCTGGCACGCCAGGCTGGTGCCGGCGGGGCCCTCTGTCGTGACCAGGCTGGTTGCCGGCGGGGCTCTGTCGCGACCAGGCTGTGCCGGCGGGGCCCTCTGTCGTGACCAGGCTGGCACGCCAGGCTGGTGCCGGCGGGGCCCTCTGTCGCGACCAGGCTGGTACGCCAGGCTGGTGCCGGCAGGGCCCTCTGTCGTGACCAGGCTGGTGCCGGCGAGACCCTCTGTCGCGACCAGGCTGGTGTCGGCGGGGCCCTCTGTCGCGACCAGGCTGGCACGAGCGCGCCAGGCTGGTGCGGCGGCCCTCGTCTGACAGGCTGGTCGCCAGGCTGCCGGCAGGGCCTCTGTCGGACCGGCTGGTGACCGTGACCAGGCTGGTGCCGCGGGGCCCTCTGTCGTGACCAGGCTGGAACGCCAGGCTGGTGCCGGCGGGGCCCTCTGTCGTGACCAGGCTGGCGCCGGCGGCCCCGTCTGCGGGGTCGGCTGATCAATGTCGCCGCTGACCGGCAGCTGCTGCACGCGACGGCGGTGTTCCGGGCGCACGCGCGCGGTCCCTCCCGCGGCCAGTACCTGGCCCAGCTGGAGGCCGACTGTGACAAGCTGTGGCGCAGGGGGCGCCAGATCTGCGAGGCGCTCAGCCTCACCGGCAACCCCTGCATCAACCCCGTGCACCGGCTGGCGGGCCAGCCGGAGCCGGAGCCGGAGCCGGACGAGGAGGGCCACAGGTGGGTGTGACACACCTGACTGCAGCACGGCACCGGTGAGATCGCGCTCGCCTGGCTGAAACAGCTGGGCGGATGTTCGCGAGTGCGTCGCTGCCCGCCCCCCCCCCCCCCCCATCGCGCGATGGATGACCTGGACCCATGGAAGTGGATGTTTATAAAGTTGGGCGGGTTGTCTCGAGTCAGTGTCAGAGCATAAGAAGCTGTCCACTTGATGTGGTAAAAGGTGAAAGTCTGAAGCTTTGGGTCACCTTGTCGCATTCTGATGGAATTAATTGGCGATAGAAGCTGTGCCTGTCTGTCAAAAGTTCACGAATTTGTCCCAAGTTTGTTTTACCATGGCGCACACTTTAAGTTAAGACCCGTTATCTGAAATGCTCCCCGCTGTGCTCTGAGAGAGGAATAGAAGAAATACGCTTGGTGCATTCACTAAACCCTACTTTATCTCGAACGGAATTGAAGAGCCAGGCGTGTGACCCTGTCGGTGTCGACTGACCGGTCCCACCCTATCGGTGTCGGCTGACCGGTCCCGCCCTGTCGGTGTCGGCTGACCGGTCCCGCCTTGTCGGTGTCGGCCGTCCTGTCCCGCCTTGTCGGTGTCGACTGACCGTTCCCGCCCTGTCGATGTCGACTGACCGGTCCCCCCCCCCCCCCCCCTGTCGATGTCGGCTGACCGGTCCCGCCTTGTCCCGACAGGCGGCCGGAGATGGAGCACTGCTCTGGCGTGCGCTACCTCGCCACCTGCAACTGCGGCCGGCGCCAGCGACAGCGCGACGACCCGTTCTCAGTCAGTTGGCGGCGGTGCTGTTACCCGTTCTCAGTCAGCCGGGGGCAGTCATGACACGTTTGTGATCAGTCTGCGTCGGGGGCGACCCGGTTGCGATGATCCTAGCGTCGTAGGAGTGGCCCAACCTGGTGCCGCTTCCCGTGTGGTCGGTATATCACTGGCCGCCACCGTGTTCACCCGCCAGCTGAGGTTTACATCCTCATTCGCTCCGCGCCAGCCACCAGGACTTTCTACCTGTGCGTCTGTCCCGGACGGTCATCGCGCCGCCGCGCCGGTCCACTGATCTCTGGCCGGCTCCGCAGGTGCGCAAGGCCAACTACGAGTTCTACGTGAGCCAGGCGGATGGCTGCTGCGGCGCGCTGCAGCAGCATGAGTTTCCCGTGTTCCGGCCGGGCGACACCAAGGCCAGGTGAGGGGTGGCGGTGCCGCTCTGCTCGGCCGCTGCAGGGGGGCTGGGCGGGCGGGAGCGCATCGCACCGCGCGCCGGTCCGGACCGCCTGCGGTGCCCGGCCTCCATCGCCGTCGCTGGGACGGCAGCAGAGGCGTGCAGTTGTAGCTGGAGCGGCCGGAGTGTGCTTGGCGTAGGGAAGGAATAGGTCGGATGGGGAAGCCAGACTCAGTGGCGTTCGCGCGGTGCTATTCGGCGTGGTGTTCGCGCCGTTACCCGGCGCACGCTCCGCAGGGTGTTCCCTCGGTGTGGACGTGTGGCTCAGCGTGAGCCGCGGCCGCTCAGGGTCGGTCTGAGTCGTGTAATGTCTCAGCCGTGGAGCGCTCCGAAGAAGTAGAAGTCACGATTCGTGATATCTGCAGACGTGTCGGGACATTTGCCGCGATAGCGGGCGCTTCAGACTGGGGCCACTAGGGCCATGACCGTTTTGGCACGTCCCCGTGTAGGACCATGCTATAACGTCACGCCTGCCTGCGCGTGTACTTGCCGTGTTGTATCCGGCGGGACGCGCCGCGACGTCGCCTCTTGGCCGGGTCGTGTCGCTGAGACCGCCCCGCCGCCGGCGGTGTCTGTGCTGACCTCTGATATCCCGCCGCCATCAGGGCGGCGACGGTGGTGTCGACGTCGGCCGGCGGCCCGGCCGCCTCCGCGGCCCCATCGCCAGACGAGGAGGAGGGCAGCATCTCGCCCACCTTCGGGCTCGGACTCAGTACGTGTGGACGCTGGTCCCTGGCGCGGCGCAGATGATCTTCGTTGGCTGGACCCCCGGCCCAGCGCGTCCGTACTGCTTCAAGGGCCCGATGCGTGTATGGATGGGGAACCATGTGGGGGAGGAGGGATGAGGTAGGATGGAGGAAAAGGGAGAGAGGAGAGAGGAGGGAGGGGTAAGGGGGTGGTTGGGAGGGGGCTCCGCTAAAGCCGGTTTATGACTGCGCGTATGAAAGCGCGACGATATTCTGTACCGGCCAGTCTAAGCTGACGTGACTGGAGGCCTGCCGGGTCGGCAGACGGTCACACCCGGGCCCTCCTCGCCGCCGTCAGGAGGCGCGCTCCCAGGTCCGGTGCGGCCCGGCTCCTTCCCCTTCCTATTCCCCCCTGCGGTCTGCCGTTCCGTCTGGTCGGTCGTGTTGTGCGGTCCTGTTTGGTGTCCAGCGCCGACCCGGTCTGCGTGGTGGTGTGTTTGTGTCGGGCCGGGGCGGCGGCCGCTGTGCCGGGCCGCTTCGGCCGGCCTCTGCTGCGGCACCGGGGAGTGCCGCCGTCTGACTGACCGGGACCGGCTCGCCGCCAGGCCAGGGCGAGGCGGAGGAGCCGGAGAAGAGCGGCGGCAGTCCCTCTGACGTCACCTTGGCAGTCAAGAAAGGTACGGCGGCTGGTCGGGTCACGGCCGGCCTCAGCCGCGCCTGTCCCCTGGAGATCTGGCCGCGTGTTGTTGGCAAGTGCTGGGTACAGTAATCCCCGCAGGCAGGATCCGAGCGATTTTCGGAATGGAGTGAATCGGTGCCGTGTCCTTTTGCATTTTCCCAAAACAGTTTTGTCTTGTAGGTTTTGACATAACCAGCTCTAAATTCAGGGCGAAGATATAAAAGCTGAAGATCAAAGAAAAAAATCATCTCTTTGCCTGGCAGGGTGTTGAAGTCTCGGTGAAACGATTTGTGGATTATCCCGCCGTGAAAATATTTAAGCCTCACACTTGGGCCCCCGAAGCAGACACTGGATATTTAAGTCGGTGTTTTGTCGGTCAGATTGAAGGAAAGGTGAAGGTCGTATTGGTTCTTGATTTGGCAGAGGGGAAAAAGCAGCCGGAAGTACAGCCCTCCACCGAAGAGTACCTGGACGGCATGATAACGACGGCCACTCCGCGCCACCTGCTGCCCGAATACCCAAGCTTCAGTTTGGTGTGTTTGGGACAGTCGTCGCTGTACTCCCACTCTGTGGGCTTGCAAGGATTTCTTCAGGTGAGGTGGTGACGAAAGGCTACAATTTTTATGTCATTTCCCATCACCAGCGTCATTTGTACGAATCAGTGATGCATCCTGGGATTATTGCCGCACATCAGTGCTCGGTGTCATACCGTTACCCTCCTTGTCTGCCGGGCAGTCAGGCCTGGCGTGCGTACATCTTCGCAACATGAATCTTTAACGCTCGTGTTAGCCCTCTACCCGGAAGCATATATAACTCGAAAGTGTTTCTGTCCGCAGGGCTCCAACTACCTGCTACCTTGGGAGCTAAGAATGAAGACGGAAAAGCAAGACACTGGCAAACGTTACATCAAAAAGAAAGGTTCGTTCCGTATGGTCAACGATGATTTGCTCCTCTCGTCCGCAGTTGTAACCACCAGTCATTCAGATGTGTTTAAACAAACGCTTGGCTTGATTCTCATCGCATTGGTCAAGCACCAGCGTTTCGCTCGCTCCTGGCTGGTGCGTCTTCTATGGACGCGAACTGGTGGTGCCATCTTCCGTTTCTTCAGCATTGTGTTATGAACGCTTTTCAGTGTTTCTCAGGATATTCCTGGGATGTCTTTATCTGAGTATGCGCCGAGTGACATGTGAACACGTTCGTAGTACGGGTAAATGCGCACGTGCAGGGTGTGGAATGGCGTCTTTCAAAGTACTCCCACGAATTTGTGTGTAAATATCTATCTTTTGAAATGCTCATGCCACTTTTCAGCCAGTTTTGAGCGTTCAGAGAGAGACACGCGAGGCGTGTCATTGCATGATTTGCATCACACTGAGGCTCCAGACGAAGAGCCATTCGGCTGTTGTTTTTTTACAGAGACGTACGACATCTACGCGAAGATATTCATCGGCGTGGAGTACGAGTGTCCCCGAGGTCACCGATTCATGATGGCCGCCCCGGACCGGATCATGAAGGTCATGGGGTCAGCGCAGGTCAAGGACGGCGCGGCGACCGTGGCCAACAGCGACATGCCGCTCTACTTCAACTGCCCCTGCAGGTGGGTGGTCTGGTGGCTGGCCGGGCCGTCGGCTGAGAAGGTGGCAGTGAGCTGGAGGCACTGGTTGCGACAGTATATTCGGTTTTTTTAAAATTCTAAATGGGGTCTTCGCGGATTCATCGATATAAGTGGTAAATGATTGATATCGCTTTGCCCTGAACATGGAACTGGGATTGAGCCACTGCACATGAATTGTCTTGTTTCAAATGTTCCAGAACGTGACACAGCTGTAAGTGTGGATCGACGCCCCTGCCGTCTTCGCCCTGTGCTCCCTGTGACAAACCTGCCGCCTTCGTGCTCCGGCAGTCAGAAGCTGAAGCCGTTCGTGGGACAGCTGATGCGCGTGCACGTGGTGACGCCGAAGTCGTCAGTGCGCGTGACGCTGGAGCCGCGCGTGCAGCCGACGCCACCAGACGGCGCCGTGTTCGTGCCGGGCGGCGCTGGCGGCGTCGAGCTGAGCCCCGCCGCCTACTGGGTGCTGCGGCTGCCGTACCTGTACGAGGACGGCGGCCTGCTGACGGCGCCGCCCCGCCAGCAGGTGCCGCCCGGTGGCCAGGGCCGCCTGCTGCCAGACATGTTCGGCGTGGTGATACGCGACGAGGTGTGAAGCCGCGCCCGCTGAGGCGGCGGCGGCGTGAGCGGCGCCCCAGGCGGGAGCGGGAGAGGGGAGGCCGGGGAGGCGGTGTGGGATGAGGGAGAGGGGCGTGACCGGGGCGCACTGGTGCCAGATGTACCCCGGGCGGGCGGGCAGCTCTCGGGCCGCGTCTGCTGCGCTCTCCGCGCTCAGCTGCTGCTCCGGCCGGCCGGAGGATGCCGGCTGTGTTCGCGGGAGCCGGCGTTTGACCGGTCACCGGCGCCATGTGGCGGCCCGACGGAGGCGGCGGCGGCGGCAGCTCACTCACCAGTGCACGGTCGTCTCGGAGCAACAGGCGACCTGAGGCCGTGTGGGGTGTACCCGACACGCCGGCTGCGGCGGCCACCGGACACCACCGCCGCGGTGCCACCTCCGGCCTGTTCTCGGGTGTCGGTGAGTCACGGCGGCACGGCTGGACGCCGCTAACAGCGGGCCGGGTCTGGCCCGGACCCAGATCTCACCGCTCACACGCCGGCCCAGTGAGGTGGTGTCCATTAGTCGTTCTGAGGAATGCCGATGGGTACGGACGTCTTGGGCATTGGCACCGCAGCGTGGTTTATGAGCGATAAACGATACCAACGAAGCAGATATCTGGCAATCGGTTGAAAAATTGTCGGCTTTCGCCGATTGGCCAGACCAATAGTCTGGCGAGGAATTTGGGCATAGAATATTCATCCCCGGACCGTCAGAGCTTCGTAACATCAACCCTCGAGCCCGCGGACGACCGTTCGTTTCTGCGGAGCACCCTCTGAGTCCACCAGGCATGCTTCCACGGACCGCGTGCGCAATCAAACGAGAAAGGCGATCTATCGATATATACATATATGCATGTATCGCATCTTGTATTTTCCAATATACGGTATCACAGTACATAATCATCAGCGCATGGGGTTCTCAGTGCGGAGGAGTCGAGCTGCTACCGCGGCAGCGGGCTCACAGGTAAAACAAACAATACGGAAACAGGGCGGAAAACCGGTACAGCACGAAGGTTAGAAAGCATTCGCAAGACACCAAACAAACCGCCCGGCGCCAGGCACATTAGTGGACAAAAGCTCGACCAGAGAAGTGCCACTGCTCACGGGCGGAAGGCGCGTGATACACACGCCGGTGCGTGCCGACAACGCTGAGGTGCGCGCCCAGCCGGCGGCGGCCGGGCCGGGGCCGGGGTCGCAGCCGTCAGTCAGAGAGGACCCAGTCGTCTGTGAGCGGCGGCTGCTGCGGCGGCCGCGTCAGCGCCACCCGCTCCGCCATCAGCGTCTTGTGCAGCTTTCGCAGACTCTCCTGCGGCAAACGCGGCTGGTCAGGCGCGGCAGACGGCGACCCCGGGGTCACCCACGGCCGCCGACGGTCAGGGGTTGGGCGCAGAGGTCACTCACGGCCGACGCCGGTCAGGAGTGGGACGCGGGGTTCACCCCCGGCCGACGCCGGTCAGGAGTGGGACGCGGGGTTCACTCACGGCCGACGTCAGTCAAAGGCCGGACGCAGGGGTTACGCACGGCCGCCGCCGGCTAGGCGCGGAACGGACAGGGAACACAAACAAACGCCACACGACACGTCACTCAGTCGTGAGCACGGCCAGCGGAGCGAGGCAACATCCGGCAGCACGTCCTGGGGCTGTGGCCGCGACGGGGCGGTGACATGGAGGCGACAGTGGGCCCCAGCCAGCCTCGAAGACAGCGCACCGCGCAGCCGCCACGGCAGGCTCACCCACCCGCTCACGGACACAGCCCGCGCCCACCACCTGAACGGAAGAACGGCGACGCGTCCACTGCGTACCGACATCGGTCGGCCGGCCACTGCACAGGCGGTCGCCGGCCTGCCGCAAGACCCGCCCCAGAGGCCCCGAGAGGAGGACGGCGCCGCCGCCACCCGCCATCTGCGACGCCGTCACTCACGTTCTCGTCCTGCAGCTGCACTAGCTCGGAGACGTATTTGGCGGTGTCGCGATTATCGCGGCCCGCCGCCGTCCGGTTGAGCCGCTCCTCCAGCTGCTTCTTCTTGGTAGAGAGGAGCGTCACCTCCGTCTGTAGCTTCAGGTAGTCCTTGGTCAGCTGTAACAGCAGAGGCAGCGCGTCAGGCAGCGGCTGGACCAAACACAACGGTGACCAGACCGTTGGCGGGCCCAAACGGCCAGTCCGCAATAAAGCGTACGATGCCGCCTGTCGCCGGTCCCCACAGCAATTACACAACTCACGGGACAATCGAAAAGGGATGCCACTGCCCCCCTCCCGCCCCCCCCCCCCCATTTGATCTCATTATGAAGGAGCAAATGCCAAGTCCACGTGTTTCAGTAGCTGCAAGCGCCGGCCGAACGCCGCAGACGTGCTAGGCCGCGACTGACACCTGCGCTCGCTTAACACGGATCAACTCTGTGAGTGATGGCGATCCGATTGAGAAGTATTTTAGACTCCCGTCCGGTCGCTTGTTCGGGTTGTTCGGCGTGATCCATACAAGGTGTGACGGCGAGTGTGAGCCGATTTCATGATCTCCCGCCCTGATGCTGTGGTTGCAAATAAATGATTTCGGATGAAAATAATGGACCAAGGACAGTGCATGACTACAAAATATGAAGTCAGCGATCCGGCGGATTGAATTACTCGGCGCCCGGCGCTCGGCATCCGTGGTGGCGTGATAGTGGCGGTTATGCTGGCGCCCAGGCATCAGGCGGTTATTCCCCAAATCTCCGTGACCACCCTCCTCCCCCCCCCCCCCCGATTATGCAGGTTTATTACGAATGGGATTTTCACTTGAACATCCAGAGTCCCAGGTCATCAGATAACCCCCCTCCCTCACCCCTACATTAACATGTGTCTAAGCGTCCCCTCGTCACCGATTTGAACGCGCACTTCCGCCTTCCACCTTGTCCTTGGAGGACCTTGCACGACAGGCGTGTTGGCCGGCTGGGTACAGCCCCGCGCTCCGATACGATGTTTTCGGTTGCGCCACGGCCCCTGGGCTGTCATATGACCACCACAGTAGCTGACGCCGCTGAAGCCGGTGCGTGACGACGTTCACCTCATCCTCTACAAATGATATCCTGCACAACACCCTTCCTGGGACGATGACACTGGTGCGCCGTACAGCACCTGGCATTGTGCGGAAATTTTCAAAGAATGAACTGGCGTGGACTAGTCATCAGGTGAGCATTACGTCAGCGACGACGCGTATTACCATTCTTCGTGTGACGATGTCACTGATGTGCTGAACAAGGGCAAATTCGCTCGGCGATTTCGAAAACATGACCTGTGTTGATCTCGACCTCAGATAAACATCACGTAACCGACGGTATCTGTCGGTCGTGTTGACCAGTGATTTAACAGCCCGGTGGACTAATATGGCGCTCATTCGTCAGGTGCGACACTGATCTCCATTATTTAACGCTACACCTCAATACACAACAGAACCATGGATCATGCGATGCGTTGCATACAGAACCCAGAATGCGTCACAAATCGACGAGTGCCACATTCTGGCCACCCAGACGAGTCCCGCCGGACGGGCGGTCTTCTACCGATAGCGGCGTAGAATACGCCGCATGTCACTGAGTCCAGTTACAGTCGGCCAACATTAGCGCGAGTCATGTGCCACGCACGGCTCAAACAGGGTCAAAAGGTTCACTTGGTGAATTTTGGTATTTTCTGGTGACTTGATGGTTCACATCAGTTCAGAGGGCCCACATATGCGTCACGAATGTGATAAAAGCGATGTTATATAGCCCTCGGCAGACCCAGATAATGAGCGATAGCAACCCACCAGTAGGCGTACCATGCCGAAGCAAGTTATAAGGGCGAACCTTTTGTGCGCGAGCCCCTGCCTATTATCCAAAGGACTGGGCATGGTGCGACGACGAGACAGACGTCGCTAGATAGGGTTTGCCAAGCTGCACCAGAAAACGCGGAATATAAATTGAGATCTGTCAAACCATTAAAGAATCGGAAAAAACCGTTCCCTACAAGCTTTTCCAGACAAAACTTGAAATCGTATGACATGACTAAATATGATTTAAATAATCGTACCACCGTGCTGCATAAGATACCGCGGAGTACGCCGGTCAGTCCTTTACAACACATCTTCCATACAGAGCCTCATCGTGAACCTGAACGCGGAATGCCACCCGCATGACCTGGGCACAGACGTCTCACGCGTGGCCTTTGGAAGATACCGTCTTTGAAATGTCTCAGGAGAGGTAACATCAGCACTAGAAGAGTTTACACATCCTGCATTAGGTGGTTCCCATGCATTTCCAGAACAAAACATAAAGGGCTCCCGAAGCCTCTCTGAAATAGCAAGCGTTAACAAGGTCTTAAATCCGTCAGACATAGCAGCGGACGGAAACCGGGTCCCGCAGAAGGTTTCAACCTCAGCTGGATCCTACATTTGCCATACTGCGGCTATCCGTTCGGAAACATCCGGCGGACAAGCTGCACCACCTGACAAAGGGGAGATGACAAAACATATTTTGGTCTTGAAATGTTCTATTTCTGTACACGACATAATGCGAATTTCAATAACTTCGATGGCGAGCTCCCGAGCGCCGCGCGCACCGCACCGCCTGGACTCCCCAGCGCCGTTTCTGCGTTGCCGTTGCGTAAATACAATATTTCTGCTTACCAAGAACTCTACAAAATGTACGGGACCAAGGTAAACCATTCGTCGTGTTTAACGCGGAACATACCGTAAATAATTTCAAAACAGATAGAATCATGCTCCTACCCTCGAATTTTAATAAATACGATAGCGAGCTCCCGAGCGCCCTAACCTAACCTAACCTAACCTAACCTAACCTAACCTAACCTAACCTAACCTAACCTAACCTAACCTAACCTAACCTACCTAACCTAACCTAACCTAACCTAACCTAACCTAACCTAACCTAACCTAACCTAACCTAACCTAACCTAACCTAACCTAACCTAACCTAACCTAACCTAACCTCCCCACCCTACATCCCCTTCAACCCAGCATCTCATTGGCATCCATGTTCCATGCCATATATGGGTGCCATATAGTGAGCTTTTATTTAGCTGCCATGATCTCATTTTGCCTTACATTCCCCACCCAATCCCCCTGCAACCCATGGTCCCGTTGGCGTCGAGGATCAAATTTCATGGATTCTTGCTACCTTGTCCCGGTACATTTTTATGGTTCGCAGTAAATATGGTTTATAGTTATAGTATGGTTTATATAGTATAGTTTATAGTTATAGTTATGGTTTATAGTATGGTTCGCAGTTAATATGGTTTATATGGTAAATATAGTTATGGTAAATATGGTTTATGTTTAGTAAATATTTTTATGGTTCGCAGTTAGGTTATGGTTGTCCTGCCTTAAACATGACGAATGGTTTTCTTTGGTCCCGTACATTTTGTACAGCTCTTGGTACGCAGAAATATTGTATTTACGCAACGGCAACGCGGAAACGGCGCTGGGGAGTCCAGGCGGTGCGGTGCGCGCGGCGCTCGGGGGCCCGCCATCGAAGTTATTGAAATTCGAAGGTAGGAGCATGATTCGGTTCAGCTATCAGCGTTGCTGATCTTATTAGTGCTTGATCTACTGAGAACCTTGTAGACATGGAACTTAACAACGATGTGGTTCCAACACAAACAAAGCGCCGTTCCTTTGACACGGCACGAGCCAAACAGCCATGCTTAAGGGCTTATTACGAGCGATGCTGCGGGCCGACCGAGTCGTCTTCAAACCTGGTGCAACCTCCAGCTTGAGCGCCCCGTCCTGGCCTTCACGTATCCTGCACTCTAATACCGTGGCAACCAACTTCACCGGTTCATGTCGGTCTTTTTCTAGTCAGATCCCCGCAACCGGAGTTGGTGAGGACGTGACATTAACTGGACTATTTGGGCGGATGCAGCGGTTACAAAACTTAACAGGCAATATCAGGATTTTGCTGCCAGGATCCAAGGCTGGTGAGAACAGGACGCAAACCTGGCAGCGTCAGTTTCAGACAAGCAAGCAAACATACCAGTGTGCGCGAACACTCAAGCATACCTGTAACATGAGCCTTCGTTTGTAAATCTGCACGTTACATATTGAAAAAGTTCAAGTATCTGCGATGCATCGGCAGAACACTCGCCACAGGCGAATGTCACCAGCCAATCACCTCACTGGTGTCAGAGGGCCTCGACCGATGCTCGAGTACTTTTTGTACACACGCACACGGCATACCCAAGGCAAAATGGATCTCACAACCTCCTGGGTGCAGAGGTGTCTGAATCTTCGTCAGACTTCCTTTAGAAAACATAATTTGATCTTCAGAACAATAAGGCCTTGGATCCCACTGTCAACTTCTCACTGATGGTGACCTCCAACGAACAACATGGGTTCAATGACCGCAGTGAAATCAGGAGGTGCTGTATGTATGGCAGACTATTTTGATCGGACCAGGGACGAACAAACCCATGAGAACCAGTCTGAATTCTTTACAAAAGGTTCACATGGATCTCACAACCCTGATACGTGAGCAGTGCCCCAAGTTCTGACTTTGCTAACAGGTCCTTCCGAACCGTAGATGCGCCAGCAATCGACTGAAAGTGAACAATGTCACAAGTTACGAAACCCATAACAGGTGTCATCTAGGTGTCATCATAACAGGTGTCTCTACAAAATTACAACGTCGTGTCGTTTTGTTTATAATGACCATTTGTCAACCGAACACATTTGAGAATTTGCGGTACTGAAGCCACATTTTCTGAGGCGTAATTAATTGTGAGGCAATCCATTCTGTCGAGAACATGGTCAAGCCAAACTCAAGGCCAGACAACTTCAAGCAGTTGTTCTGAATTAGCGCGAACATCATAGTAATGGACTTCCACCTAATAAACTTATGGAAGGTTCTCTTTCTCACGACAACTCAAACGTTCCTACTAATAAAAGCTGTGGGATTTCCAATGCATTGATCAACCGCTGACGCCGTTTGCTCATGATTCACCAAAAGGAAACATGATTCAGGATTCACCTAGGCACGTATTAACCCTGCTCATATCTCGAATGGAAGCGGCCCAGCAATAACCCATCTATGAACTTCCTCTATTCTACGTACAAACCAGCCATTGCTACCACTGTTATCTCGGTATCTTGGTTTCCCTTGGTATCTGCCTCTATCGGCCGAGATTTAAGGATCATTTACATGACGTCAATTACTCACTGAAGGGGCGGGGGGGGGACTCTGCCATCGTGATGGCTGACTGAACACCAGCGAGCGAGGCTTGGCAGCGCCCCGCTCGGTCTACGCCGCGCAGGCGGTCATGCTGGTTAGCGGTGACCACCGTCTCACGCTCGGGCCCGTTTCCTCTAATTAACGGCGGCCAGCCCTCTCGCGTCTATAGCTCTTTGCCCTCAACCTCCCGCCGTTCCCACTTAGCCCACCGGCGGTTCTCAAACACTCGTCACATGCGTCTCCCACACACGGACCGCCCTCCGGCGGGAGAGTCCTCTCCGGAGGCTCCCGGAGGCGCCGGCCCACCTCTGTCGGGTCCGACTCGGCGCGTCGCTCACCTTCTTGTGGTTCTCAAACACTCGTATCGAGTCGGAGCACTTCAAGTCCGGCTTGACGGGCTGCAGGTCCGCGTCGATCATCTCGAAGATGTCGTCGAACACGAAGTCGTCATCCGGCCGGCCTCCTGGCGAGCGAGAGCGGGGCAGGCACGTCAGCGCGGGCCGGCGGCCAAGGCCGACGACACGGGCCACGGCGCTCGCGTGCGGCGAGACCGGCACGGGAGCGGTGCGGGCGCTGCTGCGGGCACTGCTGACGGCACGCACACCGCCAGCGGGAATGACTGCTCCTCCCAGACGCAGAGTGGGTGCTGTACATGCTGGGACCACTGAGCCGCTACTCCAGGACAGTGAGCGCGTCCACAACCGGTGCACGCTGAACATCAACGCGTCGTCAGCAGACATGCGCTCGAATGGTGTTCACAAGGCCCTTGCTACGCCGAGCTTAACTGCGCTGAATATCATTTCACAACATTTTCACAAAGCCAAGCGCAATGGCTTCGAAAGGTCTTTATAAGCCGCACAACTGCGTGACCATCCGACCTGCAGCAAGGCCTGCCCTATCCCGCCCCTTGTTATGACACGCCATTGGCTAGCCGCTGACGGCCGGTCCCACGCTGTCTGATATTGGCTAGCCGCTGACGGCCGGTCCCACGCTGTCTGATATTGGCTAGCCGCTGACGGCCAGCCCCACACTGTGCGGGATTGGCTAGCCGCTGACGGCCGGCCCCACACTGCGCGGGATTGGCTAGCCGCTGACGGCCGGCCCCACACTGTGTGGGATTGGCTAGCCGCTGGCGGCCGGCCCCACACTGTGCGGCATTGGCTAGCCGCTGACGGCCGGTCCCCACACTGTGCGGGATTGGCTGGCCGCTGACGGCCGGTCCCACGCTGTGTGGGATTGGCTAGCCGTTGACGGCCGGTCCCATGCCTGGAATTTGATCCTCACCAGCACCACGGTCTGCTCGCCAGCGCTGCTGTCACCATCACTGGACTCAGCGCCGTTATGATGATGCTACCAAATAACCGGGAGAATAGGGGAAGGGGGGGAGGGAGGATAGGAGATCAATGATTGTAAGTAAGCATCAAAATTCCTGAACAGCTTAGTTTTGTACCTGACCCGTTTCGGCCCGAACGACCTCATGCGGGGTGTAACTACGTAGATCTTTTGGGAGGCCCGGGCCGTCCTAGAATTCCAGTTTTTCTTTTAACCTAAGTCTGCAACGATGTAATTCATGATTGGTCTACAACAAAATTACTGTTGCAGCTCACCGATCAATTATCATCATTTTTTGGTTAAACGGAACGCTACACATCTAAAGATCTTGAAGCCAGCACCAGATACGACAAAATACGCTCATTTTATAACTGACGGTATACTTTGAAGTGGAAAAGACCACTATCGACAACGCAATCTCTCTATGCAGTACGCGTGCTCTTCAATACGTGATCGTTTGACCGCGTCATCGTACCTTCACAACACTAATTGGGAGCCAATTGACGGCCGTTATATCTGGAAATTATGCTCACGAAAACGGATATGAACGACTGTACAATCATACCTTTATTGGTCCTTCATCGCCACAAGGCCAGTGGAATGGCAGCATTTGGAAAGACGTTGCTATGTTATGCACATCCTCGCGGACATGTAGCTCACAAACTGAAGGGTGTAGGTCCTAAGACCAGCAGAACTGTGAACTGCACCAAATGATCTTCAAGATGGCTAGTTCAGTACGTACCCCATACAAATGTGGAGCACTCCGTTCACGCGTCCGCCGGCGTAATGCCGCTGTTTTCGCCTGCGGGGGTCGAGCTCAGGCTGCCTCGCCGCGCCGCGGCCGTGTGCCGGAGGACGCCGCCGCTCCCGGCAGCGGTCGATGACGGTGGATCTGAACCAGGACATGCTACGTCCCCGAGCCGTCGTTATCCGCCACACGCTCAATACGTCGATCTGCCGCAATGACGTCAGCCAGCACGTCCGGAAGCATCGGCCAGGTGACCGCGCCGCTCATTAACACGAACCGCAGCGGTGGGAAGCCCACCCCACGCCGGTGACTCACGCTCCCTAAAACGTCCACTGTCGCCGCACGGCCGGACCACTGACCGCCCCACGTCCGCCCGTGACCTGACCCCGGCGCCGTGACAGTCAGCCCGCCGCGCCTCGAGGACAGAACGCAGGCGGGCAGGCACGTCCCGACGTGTCCGCCGCCGCGCTGGAGCCGGGCCGCCGTCCGAGAGCGCCCGCCCGGCCCCGTCCGTGGTGGCGAGGCGGGCGCGACCGGCCGGCCACGGCGCCGCCCGCCGGCCAGTCTCCGCCACTGGCAGCCGGAGGCTGACAGAGGACGGCCACATCAGCCAGCATTTGTCCGTGTGTCGGCCGCCGCGCTCGCCCGGACAGGGAGAGCAGCCACCGGCAGCCCGAGGCTGACAGGGGACGGCCACATCAGCCAGCAGTCGTCCGTGTGTCGGCCGCCGCGCTCCCCCGGACAGGAGAGCAGCTACTGGCAGCCAGAGGCTGACAGAGGACGGCCACATCAGCCAGCAGTTGTCCGTGTGTCGGCCGCCGCGCTCCCCCGGACAGGAGAGCAGCTACTGACAGCCAGAGGCTGACAGAGGACGGCCGCACCAGCCAGCAGTCGTCCGTGTGTCGGCCGCCGCGCTCCCCCGGACAGGAGAGCAGTCAGCACGAGACAGCTCACGCTGACCCAGCCCCGACCAGACAACGGCCGGCTTCATAGCGGGCCCCCCAGAGCGGTTAGCCGTAATGTGCCGACCACCCCTGGGGGCGGGCGAGCGGTGGAGGCTGGACACCGCCGCGCCGCGCTCCGGCGCCGGCCGTCTCTGCCGTGTGTGGCAATAGCAGTCGGCGCCAGTTTGCCCTGGTCACGCCGACGCTATCTGAGTCTGACGAGATGACAGTGTAAGACGGCCAGCGACGGACCCAAAGCAACAGCAATCGGCGCCAGCTTTCCCTGGTCACGCCGACGCTATCTGAGTCTGACGAGATGACAGTGCAAGACGACCAGCGCTGGACACAAAGCGGCACAGAGGCCGCCCCACAGCTTTGGGCATCGATTGAGCCGTTTCCTCGGGCCCATAATAATCAGCTGACCGCCGTTAGAACCAGCGTTTGACACAGGTAGACAGACCATTGGGCTAACACGCGACTTCCCAGACTTAACACAGAATGCATTCAATGACTGGAAAACGAGCGGCCTTGATACCCTACACCTCTCTTCATACAATCTTCCTGATGGCAATGACACTTTTTTGCTAAAAATACAACTGCCAGCACCGACGTATTGAGCCACTGTGCAGCACGTAGACCTTGTTGATGCCATCCCATCTCACGCAAGGAAGGGACTTCACGAAATTCATGGCAGGACCGAGGACACGCTCTTTGCCAAACACAGATATTCGTCGTACTTCAGTAATTCTAACCACTTTTCTGGTGTAATTTGAGCTTTACATTACGACGGTGATACAACCACCAAGGATAGGACGCAGGTGGGCAGGAGGGGGGGGGGGGGCATAAAGCCCCCCCCCCCAGATATACCATGATCACATGTATATCATCCGCCCATAGTCACAAGTGTGCGAACATGACGTGCTTCGCTTAACCATGACCTTTTTCAACCAAAAGAAAGGTGATGACTTTGCCACTCATGAATCGCTTGAGTTCACGTTCAGCTGACATTCACTAGTTCACACGGATCTTACAACCCAGCTGCCAACACACGGTAAGCGTTAGAGTACGGCCCACATCACCGTATCTGCTCGCCACCGATGTCAGATCAGCTGACAAACAGCGTCCACGACCGCCACCGGCGGCCCAGCGGGCCGACGGTCGGAGCTCCCGCCCTTGACGTCCGGCTCCGCGCCGCCGCGCCGACCGCCGGCCCCACAAATCTGCTGCACGCACCTGACGACACCCGGCTCTGGTAGCACTTCCACAGCTTGATAGCCATGCTGGAGGAGGAGAGCGAGACGGCTGAGGCGGCGGCGCGCCGCTCGTCCGCCTCGCGGTGCCGCTCGCGGCGGCGGCGCCCGTCGCGCTCCATCTCGACACTTGGCGCGCGCGCCGGCCCGGCCCGTCCCGTTCTGTCTCGTCCCGCCCCGCCTGCTGCCGCCACCGACCGCGCCCGGCTACTGCCGCAGCGGCGGCGCCGGCGCCGGCGCGCAGCGCCGCCCGCCGTGGCGGCGGACTTCCCGATGCTTCAACGGCGGGCGGCCGGCGGCGGCCGCGCGGGCTGGGCCGCGTCATCCGCCAACCACGCCGCCAGTAAAAATAGCGCCGGGGGGCGGCGAGCGAGCGAGCGGCCCGGCCGTCCCCAGCGTCGGCCGGACGTCCGTCGGACGCAGCGGGTCGTGGCGCCGCCGCCGCCGGCGCCGACCCAGGTAAACAGAGGTGATTCAGGGCAGCGCCGACGCCAGCTGGGCTCCGTGACCGCGCGGCGGCCGATGACGCCCATTGGACCCGACCCGCGTCACCGGCCGACGGCGGGCGACGCTCGGCGACACCGGCCGCGCCGCCGGCGGCGTCGGGTGGTGACAGGCGACCGCTCGCCGTCAGCGCCGGTCGCCGGCTGCCACGCGCGCCGTCTCGAAGCCGTCATGCGATCGGAGCGTCCCCGAGCCACGTGCGTCATCCACATGACAGGACACGTCGGCCGGCTGGGCTCGAGACGCCCTCCCCACCTGACGGCTGAGCGGAGCGCGCAAGCGCCGAGCGTTAGGCCGGCCGAGTCCCCGAGTCTTTTCAGGCCCAAGACCACATCTGCCCCCCATCTCATCGGTCACCGCCGGCCCAGCAGCCCAGTCCGTTCCAGCGACCTTGGCCCCAGCGCTCGCCGCAGGAACGCTGAGGCGGCCGCGTCAAGCCGCGATCCCGCCACTTAAGCGCCTGCTCCAGGGCGGCGCCTAGTCATCACTCCGCCGGTGAGTGGGCCGCCTTCCAGGCAGCGATTCATCACCGGCACGCGCGCCCGAAGTGCCGGTATTTCGCCGGCGAGGTCGAAAATACTCGCTCTGAGCTGGCCGACAGACGCTCGGTAGTGAGCAGCAAAACAAGCCGGTCGCTTCACGCCAGCCGGATTACTCACGTCACGAATCAAAGCGGTGGCGCGCACGTGGCGTTCCATTCCAAGGAAATCACACCACATAGAGGAAGAAAGACGAGGACATAAGCCGACGAGATACGCCGCCCTGCCGACTAGACAGCTGAATTAATGGTTCACAGTTCCGTGCTAAGGTTGCGTGAACCCATCAGGCGTCACCACAGAACTTAAGTCCGAGTGAAACCGCCTGAGGGGTGTCACTCCTGATCCCAGAGAAATGCGCACCGATTCCGGAGAACTCCGTCGTAAATTCCAGCTCGTCTCGTCAACATTCAAGAAGGCATGCCACTATTGATTGATTACACCCAATCACGCAGTCATGCGCAGTCGTGGACGACGAACCCAGGTGACGACCGGACCGGTTCGTCCACAGGTCCTGGACCACATAACCCGTCGCCCACAAGCCGTGGACCCCATCACCCGTCGTCCACAGGCCGTGGACCCCATCACCCGTCGTCCACAGGCTGTGGACCCCATCACCCGTCGTCCACAGGACGTGGGCCCAATCATCCGTCGTCCACAAGCCGTGGAACCCCCCCCCCATCACCAGTCGTCCACAGGCCGTGGGCCCAATCACCCGTCGTCCACAAGCCGTGGACCACATCATCCGTCGTCCACAGGCTGTGGACCCAATCACCCGTCGTCACAGGCTGTGGACCCCATCACCAGTCGTCCACAGGCCGTGGGCCCAATCACCCGTCGTCCACAAGCCGTGGACCCCATCACCCGTCGCCCACAAGCCGTGGGCCCCATCACCCGTCGTCCACAAGCCGTGGACCCCATCACCCGTCGTCCACAGGCCGTGGGCTCTATCACCCGTCGTCCACAAGCCGTGGACCCCATCACCCGTCGCCCACAAGCCGTGGACCCCATCACCCGTCGTCCACAGGCCGTGGGCTCCATCACCCGTCGTCCGCAGTTGTCCCGGTCACCCGTGGTCAGTTGAGCGCCGGGGCTGGTGGCGCTCTGGTCAAGCGTAATGCCGGAGTTCGCAGTGCCAGATCTAACGAACTCGATCCAACCAACTGCGTGTCCAGGTCCGCTGAGTACCAGAGCACACTGAGCGCAGGGACCAAGAACACGAGTCAGCTGAGCGCCTCAGCCGTGTCGTCAGCTGGCTGTCGCAGTGAGCTGAGCACAGGCATCTGCGGAATGTCGGGCCCGGCTGACTGAGATGGCGCCTGCATGACGGACGGGTCCCAAGCGCGTTCCGGCAGGCACTGCGTCGTCGGCTGCTATGCCTACGCACGCCTCAGCTCCGCACAGCACCAGCGGGCTGGTGCAGAGCCAGGCGCCTGACAGAGCGCAGGCTGCCCCGGCTGGGGCGACTCCTCACTGGCGACGGGTCACCACATAGCCACCGCGGTCACCACACGGTGGCGCCTCGCCGGCCAGCCAGGGCGGAGCGAGCACGTGCCGACGCCACCGCGGCCGGCGCCGCTGGTCAGGGGGCCCCGCCGGCCGCTACAGCGTCGCCGCTGCGTGCTGGGCGGCCCATAGCTCAGCGGCGCTGTACAACACACCGCTGAACACTGCCAGCCGGCGCCGCCATCCCTCACCTGAAGCCCAGCAGCGGCCGCCAACAGTAAATCATCCGCCCATTCATATTATCGGCACCATTATAGAGCCCTCGCCGGTCAAAACATTGCCGTCGCGAGCGGTGGATTATCTATCTAGACATGGACATGGTTTCAGCGCCGTAAGCCGTTACACCGCTGTTCGTCACCCCCATGAGGATGCGCTACTTGAGGGATCCGATTCTCGCACTAGAAAGCAACTATCATAATATTGAGTTGAATGCGTTTTCACACTGCGGTTCTCAAACGCCTGACACTGTGAAGAACGTACCAGATGTAACTACCACGTTGCGAGCGGCTATCGTGAATGTGGTGATAGGAATCCCAACCCATCACAAGTGTAAGATAACTTAGTGCTAACGTTTGTGCTGTCGACGGAGGTAGGGCACGCGAAACGCTTCGCCCGGGAGATTATGACCAATTTAGGAGCTTAGCACCTCACCTCACCTCGGGCGCATGTAACTGCAACGCAATGTCAAAATTCGCTCAGGCTCGATCACCGGGATTCGTCAACCGAAAAAGATGAGGACAACACGCTGGGAGGACCATAACCACGCCATCATGCCCCAGTTCTGATCTGCCTCGCCTGTAACCGAGTCTGCTGGTTTGACAAGCGCGCCGTTGAGTCGCATCCCTACCAGCGACTGCGGCCGACGCCGAGTCCTTGCCGGAGCTCGCGCTGCGCCGCTGCTGTAGTCGGCGGCGGTCCGACACCCGAGCCGTGCGCACGGCCTCTCGGCGGCTCAGCGGCGTCCCGTGAGCGCGCCTCTGCCGCCGAGGTGCGCGGCGAGTGTGGCTGGCTCGCGTCGGCGCCGCTGCCAGCCAGCACCGCGCGCCGGCCATGATTTACCGGCTGGCCGGCGTCGCAGTGCTGCCCGGCCCAGCCCGGGCGATGCAGGGTCAGCAGATGGCGGCGACGCACTCGGGGGAGGGGGAGGCGGCGCCCGAGATCGACCGATCTTGCCCGCACGCGATCGGTGGGCACAGAGTCGGGAGACGGCGAGAATGCACGGAAGAGCACCCGGAGAGCGAGGCTCGAGATCGCCCAGCCTCGCCGGCGGTCCCGCGGTCAGGTGACCGCGGCGAAGCCCCCGACCGCCCAGAGAGCGAGGCTCGAGATCGCCCAGCCCCGCCGGCGGTAGGTGACAGTCGCGAAGCCCCGGGCCACCGATAGAGCGGCGGTCCAGATCGACCGGCAAAGCTTCCAACTGGACTCCCGGATACACGAGTCGACGAGGCCAGTCCGGCTGCACGGACCGCCGCCCAAACCATTTGCCCCGTCAAACGGCCCTACATTACGTGAACGGGCTGGCGGGCCGACCAATGTGACGACATGTGTGTCGATTTCGGCCAACTCTCACCACATGAGCCTGTCACTGCCAACGTGGGTCATCACGTGCCAAGGCAACCCACACGGACGTCACAATGACGTCACAGCCGCTGCTGACGTCATCAACGCTGTGACACGGCTCCAGCTGCGGTCGCCACGTCAACACAGACAGCGCAGGTCGAGGTTCGCCCCAATGACCGTCCGTGTCAACACAGACAGCACAGGTCGAGGTTCGCCCCAACGACCGTCCGTGTCAACACAGACAGCGCAGGTCGAGGTTCGCCCCAATGACCGTCCGTGTCAACACAGACAGCGCAGGTCGAGGTTCGCCCCAATGACCGTCCGTGTCAACACAGACAGCGCAGGTCGAGGTTCGCCCCAACGACCGTCCGTGTCAACACAGACAGCGCAGGTCGAGGTTCGCCCCAATGACCGTCCGTGACAACACAGACAGCGCAGGTCGAGGTTCGCCCCAGCGACCGTCCGTGTCAACACAGACAGCGCAGGTCGAGGTTCGTCCCAACGACCGTCCGTGTCAACACAGACAGCGCAGGTCGAGGTTCGTCCCAACGACCGTCCGTGTCAACAAAGACAGCGCAGGTCAAGATTCGCCCCAACGACCGTCCGTGTCAACACAGAGAGCGCGGGTAGATGCTTGCACAAACTACCGCCAGTAACAAACTAAATCAATACTTCAGCGCAGAGAACGTGGCAGAAAAAAGTAGCGTCTCCGCATGGTCGGCAATTTATCTTATCAGAAATGCTGCAGAGCCGAGAAATATTGCGGACGTCACCAACTACTACCTTGCAACATACGCCGCACAGTACATCATGGTGAAATGGTGTTAACTGTTGGGAAGAGAAAATTAGCCACATATCAACGCAACTATATGCAAGAAAGCACTCTTCAACGACAGATATGTCCAAAGAAAGCTTGGCCCAACGGCTAAATTTCAAAATCATTTCGATATTGCGTACCGCAGTGGGGACGAAGCCCCGTCGCCATCTGATGTTTGTGCCCCGAGCCGGTAACCGGAGCTGCCGGCGGCGGCAGTGCGGCCGGGGCCGGCTCCCGTTTGGTGGCAGCTGTTTGGACCGCTTGGCGGCCGGGCGGGCCAGAGGGCGGGCCGAACGGCGCGCCAGCTCCGCCGGCTTCGTCCATCATCTCGGACGGCGGCCGGCGACGACGGCCGACCGTCGCCGGCCGCCGCTGGAGCGCCGCAAGCCGTCGTACAGACCACCCACTGGGAGCCACGGGTGCGTGTGCGTCTACCAATAAAACGGGTCATAAACCAGTCCGTATCTACACGTGCTGTGACGCCCCAGGACGTGGCTGTGCTGGATTGGGTGGCTCGGCGGCGTTCACCGCAACCCGTGACGTCATACCGGCTCGAAAAAAACACATGACCCACTTTGGGTCCTGGCTGCTGTTTGGAACTACGGCGCTGTTGGCAGCGCGTACATGTGCACGTGTGTGCGCGTGTGAGCAGTAGGGGAGAGGGCCGGTAACATGGAGCGAGCCCGCGGGAACGGCAGGCACCGGGACGCCCCCACCCTGCGCCACGTGCTCTGCCGGACCGAGCCAGCCGAGCACCACCACCGGAGCATCGGTCAACGCCCCGGCCAACAGCGGTCACCATCTGTACCCGTCCGAGAGCCCGGCCGGTCTGTTTTCCCCAACGCCAGAACAGGCGGCGGCCGGGCAGTTCCCATCACAGCAGACCACGACCCGCCCGTTCCAGCGGTCAGCGCCGGCCAGCGTCGGCGGCCCTCCACCGGCGGCGGCATGACCGGCACCCGGGCCAGCCCGCTCCAGCCACAGCGCGGCGGCGCCGCCAAAACACGGCGTGCTATCTATAGCGGCTCGGCGGATTGTCCAGCGGCGGCGCGGCGGCCGGGAGACGGCGGCGTCGGGACACGGTGCCGCCGCGACTGACTCACGCCTCACCGAAATAGCCGGGCGACACGGACGGCCGGGCGGGCGGGCCGGCGGCGGCCGGCGGCGGACGGGCCGGCAGGTCGGCGACCGTGGCCGGCATCTAGCGCAGCGCGCCGGGCTGCCGCGGCCACCGTCCCAGGGCGCCGCCAGATGAATCGCGCCGCCCGCCGGAGGGCCGCCGGACGCTGACAGCGACAGGGGGTGACAGACAGCGAGCTGACAGTCCTCGCAGGCCCTGGGAGGGAGCCGGGCGGCTCCTCGCCCTGGCCGGCGGCGAATCGCGGGCGCCGCGCCGCGGGCGTCGGCCTCGCGGGGGCAGGCCGCTGACGGACGGCTGGCCCGGGACGCGGCGGCGACGGGGAGCCGTCACGCCCGTCACGGCTGTCAGCCCGGCGGCCGGCGCGTGCGTCTACGGCGGGGCCCCGGCGGGCCACCCGGCGCCGGCGCTGAGCGGCGCTGAGTCAGCGCGCCGGCCCTGAGTCAGCCGTCTCCCGCTGCGCTGCCGGCACGGCTCCAGCGGCGGCGCCCGCCCGGCCGGCTGACCGGGCCGCGCAGGGGAGGCCGCCGCCGATCGGGGCGCACGGCACGCAGCGGCTGCCCCCGCCGCCGGCGGCGGCTGGCGGCCAAAGTCAGCCGGCCGCCGGATCGCCAGCCGTGACGGCTGTCAGCGGCCGAGCAGGCCAGCCCCGCCATCACGCGTCCGTCTGGCGTCGGGCCGTCTCCGGCGCGCCGGCCATCTCGCCGGGGCCGCCGCGTCAGCCACCTGCTGCACGCACGCCTTCTGGCGGAGGCGGGCTGACACCACCGCCGCTCCCAGCGCCTGACACTTGCGCCCAGCTCTTGCAGGCGCCGCTCGCCGCAGTATCAATTGCAACGTCCGTGTGTCCAAAATTCTCGTGGCCTCGCTTACACGCTCACATAATCGGTCGCAGCCTTGGATAAAGAAGTTTCGATATCTAAAATGTGCCGGATGGTGATTACATCACTAAGTAGCTCATTGATGAATCTTCATCTGGTGCAGGTGCGCGTACGCTGGCTACGCTTCGGATCGGTGCTGAGAGACGCGTGATTCACTGGTCAGTCCATCCAACATCGCCACACCTCGCCTCCGACACTGGCCCAACTACGCAATCTCTCGCAGACCTCACACTACGGCACGCTTCTTCAGGTGGCACAGCTCTTCAGTCGCCATTCGAGGCTGCGAGCGGGCGTTTTTCGCACAGGACAGTATCACGCTCAGCCCTGAGTACGAGGAGCAGACTATGTGGGCAATCGGTTTATTCTTCTGTCCGACAGCGCCGGAAATGACAGAATATCGATAAGAAAAGATTGAACATTATGACGTCATTCCAGTACGGGGTAGCCGATAAGACGCTTGTGGGGTAATCCCACCTGACCAGTCCAACACGGTCAGAATGTGTGACTCTGGTCGACCGATATATTCTCACTGACGTGTCCATCTAAAACCACTTGGGGCAAATATGATGTTGTCAGAGCCGACAATCATTTCAGTGACACATTCTGAAACGGGATTGACACGGAACATTGAATCAAAAAGCAGCCTCTTATACCGTATTTCAGAAACAGGCCGTCACATATACCGGCTACTGGTGAGCCTGCACTACGCCACATCGACCCGGCGTCGCTCATGCAGAGCGTGTCATACCACAGCTCAAGCAGCCCTTAATTTAAAACAAACACGGCCATATTTCCTAATGACGCTAGTGTCACATATTGAGCTTTTGCGAATACAACAAAGGCTATAGTCTCAGAAATTTCAGGCTAGACGCGCAGACCGTGATGCAGCACCGCTGTGGATAACACGACGCTGTAGCCGCGTCGTTATGCTATACTTGACGTGACATCAAAACAAATAATCCGATGAATAATTGCTTCGAAAATCAGCAAAAATCCGGTTTTGGGACTTGAAACAGATAAATTAGTGCATATCCTTCAATGCATTGCAATGTGGCGACCTCATTTCGAACCTCATTCAAGGCCAAATGTCAGCATTCATTTTAATCCACTTCGAATTTATGCAGGCTTTGACATCTGCACATCAACAGCTACTTGTCTTGGAAACCTCACAAGGACTGGTTGCGACACTCTGCTTGCCTATTAGCTACGAGTGTTTTCATTGGGCCGGGCTTCAACCGTTCTCCCACGAGTCGGACCATCCACCTGGCGGGCGCCACGGCGGCACAGCTGTGGACCACTGCCCCAGATGGCAGCACAGTCCCTGTAAAAGCGGCGCGGAAGACCGCTGCGCCACTGACAGAGCACATCCCGGCAGCAACAGGGCGGGGATCGGCTACCCACCTCAGTGGCCTCAGACGAGCTGGGAGACGGGGCGACGGACCTGGCCCGAAGGCCGACCAATCCTGTACCACATCCCATCGACCGACACGACCTGACCTGGTGACCAGTCAGCGCACAAGCGCACACCACACCACACAGCAGCATACTCGCTGGCCAGCGGCAGCTCTTCGGCAACCCGGGACGAGGCTGCATCCCAGCTGGCGGTGGCACAGTACCTGGCACGTCTGGCGGCGAGCTGCCCTGGCGGCGAGGCAGCCGGTGCAGGTCAGCCGGCACCGACTGAGCGCCGGCCGGGGCCGCCGGCGCCGCCGCCGCCGCCGGCTCCGACGCCAGGCTGCCCGACGACGACGAGCCGTACGAGGCGGTGCGGCGGTGACCTGGCGACAGGCGTCGCAAGTCAGGGTCAGCGCCACCGCGGACGCACGCGCCGCGGCGGGAGAGGCCGGGACAGCTGGGGTGGGGGCGACAGCGACGGACGCAACCGCCGTCACCGGAAGAACAGGTCGTCACCACACAGCCAGGCCCGGTCGGCAATACCAGACAGATCCGACCGGTCGCAAAACACGCCCAGAGGAAAATGAGAACAGACACAGGAGCCATCAACTGCCGAAACAGCTGTGCTCAGTGCCCGACCAATTTCCTCATCACAGGGTCAGATATCTTGCTGTTCGAGGCAAGCACATCCGTGATGGACGGTAAAATACATTTCACTACCCAAATGATAGCATTCGTTGCGCGTGCTAGGCGCTCCAGCCCACCACGCATGCTCGTGGGAGGCACTCCGTCCGCGACTCCCAAAACTCCGGCCCGTCAGAGAGCTGGCGTATTCCATCACTGGCCGCTCCACGCTAGCCGAGGACTGCCGGGCCTGGGCGAGCGCCGCCCGCGCGGCCGACCGGCGCCGCCAAACGGGCCGGCACCGCCGCCCAAACACTGACCTCGCGACTTCCTCTGTTCGTGCTGCGCGGACGCGGGCGCGGCCGGCACCGGGCCGCGGTCCAGCTGGCCGAGGTCGGCCGAGTGCCGCTTGCTGCGCTCGTCCAGACCCATCTGCCGCAGCGACTCGGCCGGCGGCGCCGCGTAGCTGCCCAGGCTCGCGTTCTCCGGGATGCTGGTGGGCGACGGGTGCGCGTGCGGCTGCCGAAAGCCGGGCCCCTGACCGGGCCGGTACGGCTGGTACTGCGGAGGCGAGGTGGGGCTGACGCGGTAGGCCAGCACGGGCGACACCTGCCGCGCCGGCCGGAAGGCTTGACTGTCGAGGCCGGCCGGCAGGTGCGGTAGCTGCGGCACCTGATACGGGTTTTCCTCCAGGCTGAGCGCCAGGCTGTGACCCTGGTGCGGCGGCACGAGCGTCTCGGGTCGGCGCGCGCCCGAGCTCGCCTCGGCACCGGGGCCGGGCCCGGCCGCCGGCGACTGTGGCACCGAGCTCCGCCGGTCCGTCGCGAACAGGCCCTCCTCCGTCTGCAACAGCCGGCGCGGCGTCAGGTTGAGCACTGGCCGCCGGACGCCGCTCATGCAGCCAGCAGGCGGCGCCGCCTACAAACACAGGCCACCGACGGCCGTCACACGCACGCCACACATCACATGGCGGCAAGCCACCATGGCAGCGGCGATGCCCGAGCGCGACGGGCGACAACCTCCGGGGCTGGACCGCTCGCCGCGTCCCGGGGAGGCGAGGTGCCCGCTCGAGACGGCGCCGCTGGTGGACCCACCTTCTCCTCGATGGGCCCCATGTTCATGGGCTGGTGGTAGGCGATGCCGGCCGGCATCGGCCGCTGCAGCTCGTGACACTCTGTCTCGGGCTCGTCCTGGTGGCCGCCGCCTGGTGCAGCACGACGGGCGCGGGTCAGGTCAGGCCAGGTCAGGTCAGGTCAGGTCAGGTCAGGTCAGGCCGGCTGGGCGGCGAGTCAGAGACGCACACGAGCCAGCCCCAGCAGCGCACAACAGCCGCCAGTCCGCAGCGAACCAAATGGCCCCCGACCCACAACGCAAACATTTTCTGGTCCACAGTACCCGTCCGACAGCGACCGCCGTTGGCCATTCCTCGAGTGGTCCAAAACGTCCCACATACACGCTATTCCAGCACCTGACCCGCCAAAGGGAACAGATGGCAGCACCGGCAAGGCCCGTACGCCCGCACTGATCACAGGGACCCGCTCGTGCCCGCCCCCTACACCGTGTCTCCATCTCATCCAGGCGCTCAGGCCACCACGCCGAGACGGCGGAGGCAGCACGCAGCAACACGGCCTCGCACCGCCCGGCGGCGCTCACCCATGTTCTCGGGCCAGCTGTTGGAGGGGTAGCGGAGCTGCTCGTCGGCGCCGGCGAACAGCGGCAGGATGCGCTGCAGGATCAGCACCACGTCCACCATGCTGGGCCGCAGCACGGCGTCCTTCTCCCAGCACCTGCCCGCCGGTCGGGAGGCGCCGCGTTCAGCGTGGGACGCGGCCGGTGCCGCGCGCGCTCACACCACCGGCGCACACCGCGCGACACAGCCGTCGCTCAGCGAGGACGCGGCCGGTGCCACGCGCGCTCACACCACCGGCGCACACCGCGCGACACGGCCGTCGCTCAGCGAGGACGCGGCCGGTGCCACGCGCGCTCACACCACCGGCGCACACCGCGCGACACGGCCGTCGCTCAGCGTGGACGCGGCAGGTGCCGCGTGCGCCACACCACCGGCGCACACCGCGCGACACGGCCGTCGCTCAGCGTGGACGCGGCAGGTGCCGCGCGCGCTCACATCACCGGCGCACACCAAGCGACAAGGCCGTCGCTCAGCGTGGACACGGCTGGTGCCGCGCGCGCCACATCACCGGCACACACCGCGCGACACGGGCGGTCAACTGCGGCGCGGCGACGTGCCACACCCATCACGTCAGGACTGCTGGCACCTCTGTGAGACACGCATCACGCACACACACACCACGTGCGTGCAAAACAATCGAGTGGACTCACGAACAGGAGCGCGCTGCCCGCCCGCGCACGCACCTTGCCCCGGGGCTGACGCCCCCGCACCGCCCGCGGCCGGAGGGCCGGCGGGTGCCGCTCACCGTCGCATGAGGCACTCGAGCACTTCGGGACAGCCCTGGATGAGGTGCGGCCGCTTGCCGCTGTGCACCGCCCACATGATGCGGAAGGCCGGCGCGCCGATGTGGTCGAACGGCTTCTTGCGCGCCATCACCTCCCACAGAATGATGCCGAAGCTGAACACATCGCACTTCTCTGTGTAGGTGTTACCTGAGGACGCGGCGTGGTCACCGCTGAGTAACGGCCGTCACGAAGCCTGGCACACCGGGATACACGTGTCCTGCAGTCCTGCCGTCAAGCGCCGCGCCAATGAAAAAGTACGTGCGGCATGTTCACAGACAGGCGCCAATGACGTTAAAAGCTACTTTCTGACACTGGCTAAACGTTTGGACAGACTGGCCACCCGCCAATTTGGAACGTTTCAGCACTGCTTGGATTGTTACCAAGTTACATACGGACCTGGCCCATGCCACTAAGACACCTGTCACCGAAACACAGCAGCTCACATCCCTCCCCATCACCTCACTACTGATGCCCAGGGGGACGCTGCCGTAGCGTGAGGGGCTGACCCACCTTCGAACACCTCGGGCGCCATCCAGGCGGCGCTGCCCCGACTGTTGGTCATGTGGGTCTTGACGTCACACGCCGTGCCAAAGTCGCAGATCTTGAGCTTCCGGCCGTAGTCCAGCAGCAGCAGGTTGGGCGGCTTCAGATCTCTGGCGGAGCCGTCACTGGTCAGGGCACGGAGCGTCGCGGCCGGGAGCGCGAGCCGCCGCCGGCCACCTCTGGGCAGGGACAGACGGCGGAACACCAGCCGGCTGGCCGACCGGCAGACAGCTGCTGACAGACAGCAGGCCGGGTCATGGAGAGCGGGCGCTCTCATCCAGCGTCTCCAGCGAAACCAGGGCCAAACCATGGGCGTAACGTTTCTATGGGTGTGGATTTGAGCGGGACAATGCCGCGACACACACTGGACGGCCAACACCCCGAACACGGCATTCCCTAGTTCGTGGCGTCCAGAATATACCATAAAAGCTGGCCAAGCGGGGGCCAGCGACCGGCTGCTGATCGCCGACCGTCTTGAGGAAGCGCGCCGCCGTCGGCCGACACCCACCTGTGCACCAGACGCACGCCGTGCAGGTACTTAACGCCCTCGGCGCATTGCAGACACCAGGAGACGGCGTGGCCGGCGTTGTAGGTCGGCCGCGGCTCGTTGTGCAGCACTGCGGACGGGCCAGACACGGAGTCGGAGACGCCCGCCGGCGGAGCGCTCCGCCGCGGCGGCCACGGTCGTCTCGGCCCCGCGCCGTCGGCCCATGCTCCGCCGACGCGGTCACGGTCGTCTCGGCCCCGCGCCCCCCGGCCCACGTCGGAGGCGTCCGCCCTCCGTCCCGATCGGAGCGTAGCCCCGGAGTGTGTCGCGTCCAGGATCACCTCAGATTACCTCACGACGTGCATGAACGCTGCTTGCGGCATTGAAGAGCCAATGGCCTGCATCCATCGCCGCGGAACGACCGGGACAACCCCGACAGTGAGACCCGAAGCCGCGCCCTTTCAGTCACAAGAATGAGACTCTGCAGACCCTGCACGCCGTGCTGCACCGTCCTGGCGCGCCCGCCGACCCACTCACCGTCGTAAAGCGAGCCACCCTCGGCGTACTCCATGACCAGACACACATACTCGGGCTTGGTGCACGCGCCGAGCAGCTCGACAATGTTAGAGTGGCTGACGCGCTGCAGCTGACGCAGTTCGATCAGGAACGCCTTCTTCTCAAACTCGGTCTCGACCTTCTTCACAGCCACCTGGCGTCCCCGCCAGATGCCCTTCTTCACCACGCCGAATGAGCCTTTGCCGACGCCCTGGAGAACAGAGGGCTGCAGTGAGAGCAGGGCCGAACCAAAAAGTAAGGGACACAATATATAGCGAGCCTGTAGTTGCGACGCGGTGTCTCCACCACGGAGCTGTCCAGTCAAGCCAGCTCTGGACGCCGTCTGAGCTGTTCGGGCTCGCCAGGTCTGTCCCTCCGGCCCAACAACACGACCTTCGGACGCCGACAATCTCGGCTCCAGCTGGACGCACTGCACACACCCGCCTTTACCGTTCGGATCCCGACACACAAAACAAGACAATTCACTTTCATGGATCAAGACCACAACAAATGTATTTTTTGTAGCTGACGTAATTATGTAGGAGCTTGCAGGAAGCATGCCCATTCGTACTCTAATCTCTTCCTCACCCAGGGGTTGTCTTTTATGCTGTAAAAATTCCGCCAAATTTTAGCCATAACAAATTCAAACTGAGGGAGACAGGTGGGTGGGTAGAGAAGGATGGGGCGGGGGGCATTAACATCCAGTATTTTCCTTTTCTGGTCATCATCCTTTCTACTACTACTTTTCTACTCTCTACTGGTCTACCTTTCTAGACATCATCTGTACACCATCATGCACTATAAATCATCCATTTTACTGTACACTTCTACGTACACATTAAAGCGACAGATAGAAGCCCGAGATTGATGCTCATAGGAGATGGACTGCCGAGATGGATTGGTGTTTTCTAAAGGTTTTGGTAGATAAGTTATTGCTTCACGTGATCGGTCAGTTTGACGGATAAAACGGTACGATGCACGAAAATCGAGAGCAGCTAACATAGCCATGCTTATATATCCCGCCCCGCTCTCGGTATCTATTTATGCCGGCCGCGCCACACGGCGACAGGGGCGCGGCACCGCGGCGGTGCACAGCTGGTCTGAATCACGACCGCCGCGGAAGTCGTGCCACGGCAGCGTGCGTCGGCGCGCCCCGCGCCACAAGGGCGCAGTGGCTACTGCCGAGACACGGCGCCCAACGTCGGCCGCGTCGCAGAGCCGCAGCCCGACAGCGCGCCCGGCGGCGCCGAGGCAGTCCTGCGGCGAACGGCGTGGCGCGGCCGCCCGCGGTGTCTTCGGCCATCCCACGCTATCACAGCCCACAGCGAAGCAGCACCACATCTCTCTGTGGTGCCGCAGCCGGCGGTACCCGGCGGAAGCCGCTGCCACGGTACCCCACGATAAACCATACACAGCGAAGCAGCACCACATCTCTCTGTGGTGCCGCAGCCGGCGGTACCCGGCGGAGCCGCGCCACGGTACCCCGCGATAAGCCATACACAGCGAAGCAGCGCCATATCTCTCTGTGGTGCCGCAGCGGCGGTACCCGGCGGAGCCGCGCCACGGTACCCCACGATAAACCATACACAGCGAAGCAGCACCACATCTCTCTGTGGTGCCGCAGCCGGCGGTACCCGGCGGAGCCGCGCCACGGTAGTCCGCGACAAACCGTGCACAGCGAAGCAGCACCACATCTCTCTGTGGTGCCGCAGCCGGCGGTACTCGGCGGAGCCGCGCCACGGTACCCGCGATAAACCATACACAGCGAAACAGCACCACATCTCTCTGTGGTGCCGCAGCGGGCGGTACCCGGCGGAGCCGCGCCACGGCATCCCGCGACAAACCGCACACAGCGCGGGAATGAATTTCACTCCACGTCGTTTAGGCATGGCCATCCTACCAGAGATTGCCAACGTTAAGTTAATGATTGCTCTCAAAGTCCATGTAATCAGACGACTCCACACAATCCACTCAGGTATTTTCATCACTTTTCGCCGAAAAAGAATTGGCCACAGCTGAACAGCGGACTACTTCCCCGGTAGCAGTCACGGGGACAAAACTGGCTTCTGGCTTTGAAGCCAATTCAGAGGCAATAATGCGAAGTCAAAGTTGAAGCCGACGCCGGAGGTTTCGGAGTTTCTAACTACGAAACCAAAGCGTAAGAACAAGAGAAGCCAAATCCGAAATAAGTGAATTCTAACACTATGTCGCGACACCGAAGACAAAATCAGCCGCTTCGATCTAAGCAAACACGAAGCGAGGGCCGAACCCAACATTAAATATTCGTGAAGCCTAGGCTGCGACTGAATCTGGGGAGCCACGCTGACTTGCAGAACCAAAACCACTTCCGCGTATGATAAAACTGTTTGAGGTGAAAAATTATAACGAGGGTTTTGTGGAGTGATTGAGAGGTGTTAGAACAATGTATGACATTTTTCGGATTATTCTCCTTGCCTTCTGTTAACGCATATTGTTTGGCCCAGCTTGGCGCTATGGTAGAAGCCCAGCAAGGCTGCCTTCGTAAAGCGAAGTTAAGTCACAATGGTAGTGAACAAATCCTGTAACAAAGCTACAACCAGTAGTTAAACATTGCCTAAAGCCACCACAAGATGTTCAACATGACCTAAAGCCAAAGCTGAAGCCCAAACTGAAGTCAAAGCCAGCCACCTAAAATGGCACAAAGCTGAATTTGAAGTCGGCCATGAAAAATAGCCCAAAGCAAAACTTGAAGTCACTGGAGAAAAACAGTGGCATTATGAAAGCAAAGAGAAGCCAACTTCACTCTCATGTCTGCTCATCACATGACCTTACAAGATGGACCATAAGTGGGATAGCCTAATGGACTGTTCTGCCTAAAAAAGTATTGAAACTGTACATGTGGTGAGCCTGCTTGTGGCGGTGGTTATTTCTAGAGCATATAGTTTTTGAGGCTCTGACTCGGTGACATTCAATCTGGTGGGTTTCTGCTGTCATTCATCATGTCCCATGTCCTAAACACCATGAGGGATTTATGATGCACACAGCCACTGGGCTATGCCAAGTCTCCTGCCTTTCGCCTTGACAGGAAAGGCAGGCACCACCAAAAATCAGGCAGGCACCACCATTTTCTTCAAGTTCCCAGGTGTGCAGCTTACTTAAGTGCTGCATTACCTGCATCCTTGGATTCAGAGGGTCAAACATAACTGTCTGCTGTTTGTTCTCCTTAAAAAGTCTGGCCTGGATCAGACAGTAGAAGAATACTATCCACACAAATCAAATTGTTATTTTTCCAGTTGACCATGATAGATGGGTTCTGCTGGTCCTGGCCTCAGCTCAGCAATTAGTTTGGACTGATGCAGTCTTGAGCTGTAGCACTTAGCTCACTCTGCATGTATGGAGGAGGCTTTTTGATTAAATGTTAGACTATGCTGACTTGACCATGCATGTATGTTGGACCATGGTCGTGAATAACTATTTCGTGTTTAATTTTGATCTGATGTTTTTCAACCACAGCAACCTCAGAGTAATACAAATTTTCAAATAAATGCCATAAAACCAAAGAAGTACTTGAAAAGCCTGCCCCCAAAACCTGGGAGCATGCAGTTATGCCTGACATGGACAGTTATGCTTGACATGGACAACAGCAACAGACATGGACAGTTATGCTTGAACCTTAAAGGGTAAGAAATGTAAAGCCAAAGCACAGATCTATCCTGCAATCCATGAACACCACACATGAGCAATTGTGTTATTGTTCCTAGAGAATTTTGGAGAGGTGTACCACCCTTTCCAGTTTGGAAGGGAGGAGAGGAGAGGCTCTACCCCCCCCCCCCCCCCCCAACTTTTTTAAGGAAAGGGAACCAGCTTAGCAGAAAACCTGGTGATTAGTCCATCATGAGGGCAGATTTTGAATGTGTCACCACTCAGCACTCCAAACTGATTTTGCAAAACCATGATTGTTCAACAAGTCCAGATTCTGGGGTTTTCCTGATGTTTTGGGTCTCCAGAAACAAAAGTTTCCATACCTATACTTCATGTCTTTGTTGGAGGAAGACAGAATTTCACTGTTACCTTATGCAAAAGTCAGTCTGTATGACATGTTTACAATGCTTTACTAGGGCTCTTACTCAAAATTATTTGTTATCAAGTTTTCTTTGGATGTAGTTTTATAAACATCACAACATTGACCAAGAAAATAGATTAAGCAAGAACACATTGTTTTTTACTAAAAAGCTGACATAACTTGTTGCACCAAGTTCTCAAGAGACATTACTTTCAGATGCTGAATGCTACCTACCCAGCTGCACCTATAATTTGCACACTCAGAAAGCTACATACTTTAGTGCTATAAAAATTAGTCTAAATGTGACAAAAATCAGATATAAAATGTAGCTGGGCACTCTGTAGCTCACTTTTGTAGAGTAAACTAGCTATGCATAGAAACACATCCTTCTACAGAAAAGTAGTTAGATATCTTGGGCAATGAAAAACTTTGCTTTGTTTTTTAGCAGATTGCAAAGCTTATGTCTAATAATACATGCCTACTTGTTTTGCAACCTATTACCATAACAAATAAATTTGTTTATGCTGGTACAAGGTATTTAGAATAGAGTATGAACTAAACAGCCCTGTGCTCTATAGCAGCCTGTAATCCTGATAATGAAGGGGCATGTTTATTGGATGGAAAAATGACAGTAAATCCCACATGTCTGCAATGAATGCAATTGATGCCACCAAACACAAGCAGTCACTATTATCAGGCATATTTCACAGCTCTCATTACAAAAAGATATTACTCAATCCATACTAGTTCACCCTAATGTGTAAAGGTGAAAAATGGTTACCAAATGATGTCCTTATGCCTGTCTTGCAGCACAACAATGCTCTGCTCATCATGACTAATAATCTGATAGAGGTCTGATCGAAACACGCCATGGTTTATATCAGATAAAACATTACAGCTCATAACTCTGCAACAATGCTGTGTCCTTAATCTAACATGTGCTGATCAGTTCATCAATTATGCACAATCAATGCTTTCAAAACCAAGATATACTTATATTCATAATAAACTGGAATTGGTTAAGCACTTACAGTCCAAGTCCTGTGATACAAATAATTGACAAAAAACAGTTTCCCACACATCAGCTTGAGCCTATTACAAGGCCAGCAGCTAAAGCTGCATAGGCTTAACAATTCAGTGCCTCATACCGATGAATGTACAAAAACTGCAATACCAAACATGAAGGTGATTTTCTGCATAACTCAATATGCTGCAATTTGAGCATTTCCACCCTTATAATGTTTGTTTTGGCAAGGATCTCTATCAGCACATCAGACTCTATCTATGGCTGCTAAAAAGAACAATAATAACATGCTCTCCACAGGAATTAATGAGTGTCTGTTCAAATTCACAACATATTGCAGTCACAAATAATTTTCAAGAAACTGGCATTCTCCCTGAAAAACGTATTCTGAGCACGACAATCATATCAACATCCGTGACAGGAAGGCAATAAGTTATCGTTGCTTTAGAGCTCATAATGGTCTCTACGGGAAAAGCACACCAGATTTGTCTAACAACATAGGCCACACAATGCAAGCTAGTTCCTACCTCCTTGAGCTGTATTTCATTTATGTCTATCTCAACGTGGGTCGCCTCATCCATATCACTGAGCCTTATGGTCATCAGGGCGGCAAATATTCCCTGAAACTCTCATTTCTAATCCCGTCCCCACACCGCACAACGCCTTCCCTTTTCGTCCACAACAAAATGTGGAGAGCTCAAGCACGGCCCTGGGCTTGTGGCTATGCTCATTCACTGCCAAAGTTTACAGCTATGCCCGAACAGTGAAAGTACTGGATTGATTTACCTAATGTTATCATGTATCATATAAAAATTTATTAGCACATTAAATGGACAAGATTTAATTGCTTTTGATTACGACAATCGTGAGGCAACGAGCTACAAGAAAGTTATCAGCACGAAAGCATGCGACTAAGCCCTACCTGGGATCTTATTAACTATTAGGAAAGTTGACCTAGTCTTACATTACAGGGCAAACAGTGACTCCATCACATACACGCAGTTGCAATTTTAAATAACGCTGTTACCCCCAAACATTTTTGATGGATGGATTTCTGGGATCTGACCTCATGCTAAGCAAGGCTTTTTGCGTGAGCTGCGACCCCACCATATGATCGTAACTTGCAGGTTAGTGGCAGAACTTTGTGGCGAAGGTATAACGTGCCACGATGCTACGCACGGTCCAACCCGCCATTTGACCTCATTTGGCCTTGTGCAGGCGCTGCCTCCGCACCGGCCGCAGTCAGTCCCAGCCAGGGGCAAAAAGCGGGCGCCGAAACGACTCGAACCCACCCATCCCACTACAGGTCTGTTAGGAGGCAGGTGCCCTAACCGATTGAGCTACGACGGCGCACATGGTTCGCTCTTTTCCATCCATGCTATCTGAGTGTAGTTTGCTATTCAGTTGTAGGGATTCCAGCCCTCCCCCAGCTTTGAGAGAGAAGTGTGTCCAATCCGGAGAGAAACCGTTTGCTAACGAATCTCAGAGGTTACGCCTCATCATTTTTCACGGCTTACCCCCTCCCCCCTCCCCTCCACGCTCTTTTCAAACTACTCCCCTGCATGCAAGGATGGGCCCGACTGGTTCAGACATTTACGACATGGAGTTTGGCAGTACTGCCGAACACAAAACGAATACAGTTATTACGATTGTGTCCGTTGATAAACTGTATACTTCGCAGGAAGCATATCTCGTTGATGACTCGGACTAAGGACGTGGAATTGTGTGCACACGTTGAACTAGATAAACCGTTTGTGTGCCCCACTGATCCTGCGGGCGATTGTGGAGGCTTGTAAAGCGCCTTCCGGCCAAAGGGGAGCGGCCAGACGAAAGGTGCCTCCCGCAAGGGCTCTGACTCGCTCAGAGTAGGGATTAACAACCCCTCGGCCCCAGCTCTCCAGTCTTATCTGGGTCTCGCCGTGCCCCGTTGGATCAGCAGGAAGCGGTGGAGGGATCCTGGTCACTGAGGGAGTTGACCTGAGGATGAGGCGGGGCAGCTTACCAACACGTGGCTTTGGCCCGAATTTGTGATCCTGCGGATGCCTCGTGAAGTAGCCATACGAGGAAATCGGCTGGTCAGGCGTCGTCTTTTCGCGACACTGGCTTGGAGGCAAGCAGGCCATGTGATGGGTGTTGAGGGGGGCGCTGCCGGGTGCAGTGTTTGCCTCCTGACACCATTAAGGGTCCGTACCTCGGTTTGTTACCAGGGTGCCCGGTTAGCCCCTGTGAACCGAGGCACTGGCGCTCTCAGACTCGTGTCCAGCGGTCCTCGCAGCAACTCTTTTGGCACACAGGTCTGCGTATAGCGTGCTGGTAGCCCTGGCGGCTCCTCTCTTAAAAATGGCCCGTCCCCGTGTTGGGCTTCATGGCTGGCGGGAAACCAGCGCGCGGAACATAAACACATACTCATGGACACTATATCATCAACCAGCCCCCCAAACCCTGACCGTCGTAGCCAAGGAGAAAGCGGGAGCTCTCCACTGACAGACACTGAGGTGAGGCGACTTGTGCCACCACCCCAGTTTCTGGTTGTAAGATTCGCCAAGGAACATGACCAAGGAAAAACAGCACCGCTCCGACTGAACCCATTTCTGCACCAACAAACATTTTCCAAGATGGGAACACCCAAGGACGTCCTTTCGTGTACGGATGGGTCCATATAAGTGCATTTAACAGACGAACTCGATGTCCAGGGCATGCTCAAGACGACCACACTAATCTACAAGTACGAGGACAGGGAGACATTAGGGTGCCCGTGTCGATGCAGCGTCATCCCTCTAAGCACTACTCCAAGGGTTGGTTACTTGCCGGGACCTTCGCGGTGTGAGTGATGAGGATGTTGCTGATGGCTTGTGTGAGGAAGGGGTAAATGTGGTGAGACGTATCAAGAGGAGAGAGAGAGAGGAGAGCTGAACGATACTGATTCGATTAGTCTGACGTTTTGCTCTGCGAGAGTGCTAGATAGGGTCCGCGTCGGATATCAGTCAGTTCCTGTTAGGGTCTACGTACCCGATCCAGTCCGGTGCTACCGATGCCAGACGTATGGTCAGGCTTCACTGACAAGTGCTGGAAAGAGGTTAGACGCGGAAAGTGTGCAGAAATAGGCTACCAACGCTCTGAGTGTAAATCGGAAAGAGTTAAATGCGTCAACTGTGGTCAGGGTCATGTGGTGTCATATCGTAGATGCCGGTCATTGCCAGAGAAAGCTATCCTGAACATTAAGGTGAATGAAGGAGTTTAGTGTCGGGAGACCCAACGTTGACACAACGATGCGACCACCACAAGGACACACAAAAACGCCCTTACTAAACCGGCGGGAAATTTAGCCCAAGTAACATCTGCAGCAAACGAGGTACCGAAACTGTGTGGACTTGATGATTTCAAAGGCATGACCGTAGGCGAGTTTGTACCGCTGATTCTAGACACATTTGTACCAACCGGCCCCACTGCCCCGTCGTCCCGGAAGTTGGATCCTACGAAAAATGATCCACCTGCGGCATTAGCCGCTCTTAGAGAAGCTCAACGTAGGGGGTTGAAACCTCCTGATGGAGATGTCAGAGAGCCCGGGACTGGGGTGCGACCCGGAAACGGGATATGGACCGCGCTCCAGCGAGGCCGTGGACTTCACCCCCATCATCGCACCCCAGCCCAGTCCGTGCTGAAGACACGCCCTCCCGGTCTCCATCTTTCCCTCCAGCCATACCAGCTACGACGGGATTCGTCGTCCCTGGCACAGGGGCGCTACGAGAGCTGACCCCACTGGCTCCTCAGCTATTGGCCCTGCCGGGAGCGCCGGTCCTCTCAGCTCACGGGGGCCGGATAACGTTCAGCATCCCCCAGTTGTCGCTCCCTCCGGGAGCCGCCTTTCTGAAACTGGCTTCCATCCGGGTTATCTGGCCCCTGGACCTGCAGGGCGCGCCGCCAGGTCGGTGTCTACACCGCGGACCGGAGGCCGGCTCCCGCTGTCGACTCCGCCCCACTCGCCGGGAGGGTCAATGGGTCCGCCTCCCAGTCCTCCACTTGGAGACGGGCGAATCGGGTCGGCCTACCCAGCAGTTCCCGGCGGCAGGTCCGTGCGACAAAGCGTGCCCTCCTTGGCCGACGTCGCCTACCGAGGGTGGAAGCCCCACGGCTTCGGCCAAGGGTCCGGCTTACCTCCACTGAAGTAGAGCGTCGGCAGGGAGATTCGTTCAGTGCGAAATCCTAGGTGAACGTTTGAAGCACACGTGAGGTATGCCGATGGATCTTAACCGTACACCCCATATACAAGCATATCTAGCATGCCACTGCCGTTTTTACAACAGACCATGCGTGACTTGAGGACCAACATGTCGCACCTTCACACACTTTTATCTAATGGTAGCCCGGTTGTGGCATGCTTAAAGGAGACAAAGGTGTCTAATGGCGCGCACCTTAACGCCAAATGCTACAGTATTTTTCGGAAAGACGTGAGAACTGACACGGTCGCCAATGGTGGGGTGGCGCTCTTAGTTCATCACAATAATGCCGTGTTCTCCTGCAAGTCTTAATAATGACCTTTAAGCTGTTGCTGCCGTCGCCAACCTTTGGGTCGTTGAGGCTGACTCTCTGTTCGATCTGCCTCCCCCTTGCTGAGGCAGAACCGGATTCGATGTTACAGTCTATCTTCGATCAGCTTCCATCGCCGTTCCTGCTGCTAGGTGAATTCAACTTCCATAGCCCTTCGTGGGGCTGCGGTCATGCAAGCCGCCGAGGCTGACATCTCAAACGTTTGCTGAACTCAAATAGTCTCTGCGTTCTAAACACTGGCCGGCATACCCATATATCTCTTCCGTCCAACATCACTTCAGCGATAGATCTTTCTATCTACTCCTCGTCCCTTTTCTGTCCGTTGTCTTAGGCCGTTGAGAGCACTAAGTGTGGGAGTGACCGTTTCCCAATTTGGCTTGGGATGAATGCTAGACACCCAGGCAGGAGACCTTCCTGCTGGAACCTTCGACGTGCTAACTGGCAAAGGTTTACCGACGAGTGTCATATTAGAATGCAGCCGACCGAGGACGACAATGCAACATCTCTTACACAACAACTGACATCCATAATGGTCGACAATGCAAGGTCTTGCATTCCCTTGACATCACCTGAGCCGTGCAGCATCCCTGTCCCCTGGCGGTCGGAGGGCTGCAAGGCGGCAATTCTTAAGCGGAAGCGGGCGTTCAAAGTTTTTAAGTGTTCTGCAACGACCAACAACCACATCGCTTTTAAGAAGGCTAGAGCGCTGGCGAAACGTTCGATACGTGAGGCAAAGCATGCGTCATGGAAGGAATATGTAAATGGTTTCAATCGTCACACCTCACTCAGTGCAGTATGGCAGCCAGCTAGTCGCATTTCTGGTAGGAGCGTTTCTACCGCAGTTCCGGTGTTGAAAGTGGCGGGAATCACGACATTGAACACCCAAGAAGTGTTGAACAAAATAGGCTTTGCATTCGCAGAAACGTGCCGACATGGAACAGACGACCCACGCTTTATTCTTTACAAGGAACAGCGTGAGAAGACGGCAATCAATTTTGAAATCCCTGACTCAGAGATTTATGAGGACAACCAACCAGTCACTGTAATGGAGCTCTGCACTGGTCTTGAGAGAGCTAAGAGTGTGTCCCCTGGACTGGATGATGTTCACAATATGTTAAATC